ACTCCACTCCACTCCGCCTTCTACACCTCACCCGTCACACCTCACACCTCACACCTCACCCCTCACACCTCACACCTTCCATCTCCACACCCAAAATCATACAAACACACCCAAAATCACACAAACCCACAAATCAGAACAATCCTCAAACTCTACGCCATGCATCTGCATCTGTATCTACATCTACATCTGCATCTGCAAACATAAGCATCCATCCATCATCCATGACCCAATCACCCATTAGTATTCACACACAGTGCATTGCATTACATTACATCGCATCGCATCGCATCGCATCGCATCGCATCACATGAGCACGAGGGAGATCTCAACACCAATCTCAATCCTTGGATAACCACTGACTGACGAGCCTGCAGTGAAACTATTGTGTAAGCTTACTTTTGGGAGGCTCAAACTCCTACGCACTCTGTAATATCGTAATTCTGTGCAAATGTAATGTCAGATTAATCAAGATTCACGAGTCATGATTCTTGTCAGCCCAGTGAAAATATGATTTTATGGCTGAATATTTCTATTCCATTAATCTATCGGCTTCGAAACCCGTAGTCTCGAATCACAATTCAATCTCTCTAACCGCTGTGTAAACTCTACTCCTCTTTCTCAATAATCCGCAACTGTAGAAGAAAGACGAAAATAAACGCCTTATAAACGCTTTGCCTTTTCGAACCAATCATACATGATGTATTCTCAATGTAAAAGTAGCAATCAAGAATCCTCATGACCATACCCATTCATTCATGCTATCTTCCTTTCTCCACCATGAAATCATTCCCAAAAATTAAACCTCCAAACCATCATCGTTTATGCGTAAAGTACATTATAGGAATTAAGATAAAACTTTCGACAATTTGAATTGAAATCGAAAGTAATCGGGTACGAAGTGAAAAATCATGCATCCATAACTTAAAAATTGTATTCTTAGTTAAGGGTGACGATGGCTGCAAATGCAAGGAAGATGAATGCGAGTGGGGAAGCAAACTCAGCAGCTGCTGAGGTTGGGGCAGAGGTTGCTGTGGAAGTGCCACGGGTGGAGCTGGACGAGGCAGTTCTGGATGAGGATGCACCTATGATTTGTTAGTTATAATTCATTTGTTCAAGTCAATTCAATAAAAAACATACTGGTTCTTGAGGCAGAGCTAGAACCGCTGAGAGTGGTGCTGCTGTTGCCGCTAGCGGTAGAAGAAGAAGCAGAAGTTGAGGTACCGTTTGAAGAAGAGCCAGTAGAAGAGGCAGTTGAAGAGGTGGTGGAAGATCCAGTGGAGGAACCAGTGGAAGATCCGGTGGAAGTGCCAGAAGTGGAAGATCCTGAAGCGGAAGAAGCACTTGTAGAAGAAGCAGTCACAGTTGAAGCAGCGGCAGTAGCACCTGAAACTTGGAATTGCTGACTGTAGTTTGGTGTGCTGGTGGAATCTCGGATCTCAATGGCATAGAGACTGGAGTCAAGACCGGATGATGGAGTCCAGGAGTAAGATGTTCCGGTCAATCCACTGCCGATGGTGGAGACAGTGGTGAGGGCAGTGGATGGGCCACTCTTGAGGAGAAGGGTGACAGGTCCTTCGGCATCTGACCAGGTGATGTTGAAAGGAGTTCCAGCGGTGACGGCGAAGTTGGAGTTAGTCAATTGGACAGCGCTGGCAAGAGTTGCTGCCGCAGCGGCGAGGAAGAGAGTGCTGAATTGCATTTTGATTATTGAGGTATTCTTAAAGACGATTGATTGACTGTAAAAGACTATACGTAGAGAAGAAAGCGGTCAGTTTGTTGGTTATAAGGATTGACTAGATATATAACAAGGTCGAATTCGAAAGTGTAGATCGAAGAGTGAGTGATGGGGGTAGATATGTATTACTTACTTTGCGAGTGAATGAACTTACGGATTTACCGAAGAATAAGATTATATGATAATTTGATGAAGTTGAGTTGATGTTGTTGTTGTTGTTGTTGTTGTTGTTGTTGTTGTAGATGAACGACAGTGAATATCCACGAAGGAATATATGTAATGAGAGGCAATGATGGTCTTTTTGTTTCAAGTAAGAATGAAGACGAAGATGAAGATGAAATTGGGAAGGAACGGAAATTGGATGGAAGATGGGTTGAATGCTCTTCTTATTGTCATGGAAAGTCTGGGTAAATAATTGATTATTATTATTACTACAAATTGCTAACGGATACTACAGCAGGCAGACAGGCGGGGCAGGGTCATGTTTATTTGATGATCAACAGGGGAATCGATAGGTAAACAAGGATCATAAAGGATAATAATGCTTATTGCTCATTTCATTTTCCTCGACTTTTCCACGCTAAGCTCTTGTTCTGCCGTAACATACCCGTATTGGCTTAGCTTACTTTAATTGAGTTCTTTCGACATGGTTATATGCATGAGGTCGATGGTAGTGAAATTGAAAAAATACGGGGAAAAATTGGTTCAGGGGGCTAATGATCCAATTGAACCAATCATCAATTGAGATTCTTTTCCTTCTTTTCTTCACTTTACTTCACTTTACTTTACCTTCACCTACTTTTACCCTTCACTTGATTATTACCCTTCACTTCGTACTTCACTCTACACAATAAAGAAAGAGCTTACCAAGACTCCAAGACTCCAATCCAAGTCCATACATACTACATATTCCACTATGCATGAGGAGACATTCAAAAGATTGACATAACGACCAACTCTCCCATCCAATTAGCCCATCATTTTCTGATATATCGCATTCCTCCACATTCCCAAGGAAATTTGTTGTAGTTAATAAGGTTGTAGGAAAATGTAAGATCGTGGCGTTTTTGTCGTTCTTTTTCCGTCTCCCAAGGAAATCCAGCTCCGAAAAAGGAGTAATTCATAAATACCTTTCCATGTCCATATCCATATCCATATCCATATCCATATCCATATCCATATCCATATCCATATCCAAAAATAACGTCAACACTTGGTAAATTCTTAGCAATCAATTCGGACTTCTATCTCGATTCTCGTCTCGTCTCCATTCATTGACAAGTCGCCTAGATCGAAAGGGGTGTCCCTCTTATTATATTCCGTAGATACCGGTAGATGCACTCTCGAGGCCCTCAATAATGATTCGATACTCGGAACCAAAAACCTTCCAAAGTCTAAAATATTACAGAAGTTTCAACTAATTATTAACCTCGCGGCCCAGACTAAAACCTTCTGCTTCTGATTGGTGCCATCGTAGATGTACCAAAACGGTTACGGTGAAAATTCCACAGCTTACCTAGGTACCTACCTATCGTATGTCGCGCAGAGGTTCGACATGGAAATAAGATTTGATATAAAGTTTGAGCGCTTTCCAAAAGGTTCCATGCGGTAATTTTTAGCTACCTATCATGATTCATTATTAAGGTTGCTTTCGTTCCTGTCTAGCAATAACTAAAGCCATAGCGGGAGTCCGGCGTATCACAAAGAGGCTTGATTATTTATTGAATATGCTTCGTTGCTCCAAGAAATTTGACAACAACATTCTTGAAAATCACCGACTAGACTCACCCAAAACCAAAATTGTTCTTGCGGAGTCTCGTCTTTCTCAAACATAGATCCATCAAACTCCGCAATAATTGCATCATCAAAAAGTTCAACACAGATCTTTGAGGGGTCCTTCTCATAGTCATACACACTACTGTAACACATCCTCCGCACTGTGTCTTGCATTTGCAATATCTACGAATGTCCATCAATGTTTCGGAAGAACGACTAGTTCTGCATCAGTGGCGAATACGAGGTCTTGGAGCTTGAGCAATTATGCCAACTCACGTGATCACGTCACAGAGCTGTTCCAGGGTTGACCTTATTTGTTGTTGGGCTGGCTATATTTGTTCGTCGAAATTCCCATATTCGGATAGGTGAGTAGACAGAGAAACGGGTGTATCGAAGAGAAAGCTTAAATCAAGGTATTCAAGAAGCGTTCGCTCTTACGAGATATCACGAATGAAAGAAAATGAATACGCCAAAGATGAAGTTCCTTTTCCGCGTTAACATCTCAATTGGTGTTTCCAGTGAAATATCAGTACTGGGATACATCATACCAGTGGAAAACCAGCTGTCTGGTATTTGCCAACATATTTTGGCATGTAAGATGGTTGGGTACGGACAGCATTTTCATCTTGGCAAGGAAGATGGAAGCATTTATTACTTTCAGGCTGGATTATGAATATTCAATGCTAGTTGAAAAATCCATTTGAACCGTCTGTCTCGCCAAAGTGCATGAAGGTAGGTAATCAAAAGACATCGAGCTGAAGTGAACAGGTACAGGAGTATATGTTCCTCCAGCATTCAGAGCAAAAGAACACTCATCGGGGAGAACAATCATGCATCCACCAAACATTTAAAGCACAACCAACTTTGGTGTATCTTAACAAAGAATGCTTGTTGCGCAGCTACACTACCGCGCTTGTATTAAGCATAGAGGCTTGATGTACAAAAACGTATCTCTAATAGACATGAGCATCAACTTTTTGAGTATCGTTGCAAAACACTTGTTGCGTTTATCTCTGAGGTACCTTTTAGTATGTATACATACCCCACGACTTGTGGAAAAATCACATCTGACAACTACATGTGTGTGAATGAGTGATTCAAGGTAGTTTTGGGCTGAATTATGGAACATATGAGCAAATGATCAAGTGTCGATTTTATTGCCCAGGTGCTTTATGATTTGTAAAAAGATTCTCAAACCTTGAGAGACCACTTAACATTTGAATCTGAATTCCTAAATCGGAGCGTTAGATAGTTCATAACGCTTAGGAATTGTTCCAGTGTGGTATTTCATTGCGTAGAAGTTGTTCGTGTTCAAATACAGAAGGAAGGAAGGAAGGAAGCGCCTACCTCTTAGTTACACAACCTTATTTTCTTTTCATCTTCATTCATTCTGATGCATTAATCGAAACCCACGCAAAATACCAAATCGCGTTCTATTTGTTTGCTTCTCACCAAAATTCTGTACTCAACATTGACATCTCACAATATGGATGCCGAAATGGAGGATATCCATAATATCATTGTAAGTGTTGCTAACGTGAAATACACAAAATTGTTGTTACTCAATACATATTGCTTAGGATCTGAGCTTCCATAAAGGATCGGAATGTTATGAAATGGGAGAGGAAGAATTGGAGGAAGGAGAGTTGATTGAAGGGCGACCACAAATCCCCAGCTTCAAAGCATTCAAGCTAGCTACATTCGAAGCCAAGGATAAAGCAGATCGTCTTGCCAAAATAGAAATATGGGAGGAGAGTATGAAGAGGCGAAAAGCGCGGAAGCAGTGTGTGAGAAGCGTGGAAGGAGCGGCATGTACACGAAATGTTCAAGCAGAATTACCTCTTGTACCTTCCACACCTTCACCGTTGACCCAGGACTCAATTTATAATAATCGGCAAGAATCTATGGCTTCTGAAACAAGTGGTTGGACAGAAGAAGAAAGGGAGCAGGCTATTCACAATGGTATATACGGAGATGCGTACGGGGGTATATATGGCGATGTTTATTGGGATACGAATGTGGACATACATGAAGAGAATCTCGTTTCAGAAAATTTCTCGCGTACAAGACGAAAGAAATCAAATCGAAGTAAACGAAGGAAGAAGGCAGCAGAACTTCAAGCGTCGCTGCAAATCCATGGATTACTTCCAGTTCCTCTTCCTCCGCAGCCTTTGCAGGAGCAAACCGATCGAACGGTTTCGCAGCGTGATGGCGCAGCTCTTCGTCTCAAGTCAAATAACAACCAGCAGGAAGTAGGAGAGCAGGAAGGGAGTAGGGAAATGACTATGGAACGAACCAATCCTGGGGTGTTTACTCTGCAGCGAGAGCGTCTGGAAGAAATAGCTAATCTACGTGAGAGAATAATGGCACGCAAAACTTTGCTGCAAGCACAGGGTCTTCTTCCTGTGTCCCCTTCTCGGCAAAATGTGAAAGAGAACTCCATTCGAACTCTCCCAGATGGTAACCCCGAAGCTGATATCTTCAACCCTCATAACATCCAGGAAAAGAAAAATGGGCAGAAAATTTTCGAGACTATGGAAATCGAGAATACTGGGTTTGGAGCCAGCCCGCAGAAGACGGATTAAGTCAGCACATCACCAAGAGCCCAATAACATATCAAGTCAGGCTGCGAGAGCAGAGGGATAAGATAAGAGCACAGACACAACAAAGTGCATTGGATCGACAGAAATCATATGGAATGGTAGCTTCCCCTGCTCATCGTACGCAAAACAATCCCACGATTATTTGTAGAAGTCATGAAAGCGGTGTTGCAACCCCACTTCAGCAGGAGAAAAATACTGCAGTGGAGAGAGCGCGAGAACCGAGCACTTCAATACCAGCTGAAATCAGAGTGTTATTACAGAGGGGAAAGGAACGAAGACAAAGATTATCAGCACTAGATAACATGAGTTGGTGGAAAAGAGGAAAGAAGAACAGGAGCAAGAGCTTCTGGTATCGGAACGCATCAGATCATCAATAGCGAGTACTAGTTGAGGAGTGTGCCTGCCAAGATTTGCGCTGTGTTGGAGAAGAGAAGTTTAGAGATAGTGAAAAAACTAGCTGCACTTCCAGATCAAGGTTCATCATTACGGACACAATCTTACTCCTCAAGAGCCGTGCAGGACAATTCTTCTGTAATTGGTAATGGAAGCCGAGAAGTGTCACAACTTGAGCGTGAGCAAGGACATCGCGCTACGGAAGGGGCGGGAGACGGGGGAACTCCTTCCAGCCCTGAAAGATGATGGATTTCTACCAGAGAACTTGGACATGGAAATCAATACTGTTATTGAATATAGAGACAAAGGGGACATTACAAAAACGGTTTCAATACCTCAAAATATTACAGACATGTCAGATGATGCGAGGTGGCACGGCACAAAAATTGGAGAAGTAATGCAGGAGACTCCACTAAGATCTGGCGCCATGGTTGAGGATACATCAAAAGATATCTGGCCTAGATCCATTCCCGAAGTGCTGTCACAGCTTTTTTTTCCTGTCAGAAGAAGTCGAAAAAATCATAAAAATGGAGAATGAATGGTTCGGGTGGCTAGGAATGGATACTGATATTGATACAGACATTGAAGATTCCATCAATGCAATGACCTCCTCACCCAATAGCACTATCGAGTACCCATCAGAGACAGAAGATACCAGGGTCAATTCCGATATCTTATCAGAACTTTTCAATATATCAGAAAATATTGAAGATATGATAAACATGGAAAATGTGTGGTTAGGCTGACTGGGAATGGATATCGATGTTGAAGATTTCGCGGACGGATTTGCTAGGTGCTAACACCAATATCAACGATTTCTAAATATGCATATCGATTGGAATTCAATGGTAGAGCTTCTCTCTATCTGTGGGTCTTGTAAAGATATTCTGTACAGGTCTTGGAGCATCGAAGGGAAGGAGATTGATGGTGGTATGTAAATCTAGATCTAAAGAAGAGGCGATTTGCCTTTTCTGTGGAATGGAATGTAAGAAGTTTGTTCATTTGCTAGAATGTTGTTGTGATATATGTGTCAAAGTGGATTGCTTTATTTACAGGCATCACTTGGATGTATAGTACCAAACTTACATATTAACAAGCTCCGAATCTTCAAGGTTCTCACACTACCTACCTCCAGGACGTAGCTCACTCATATGATATAAAGCAAACATAGATACTGAAAGCACATCATTTTAATCTTTTTTATTAGTGTTTTTTTCTTTTTCTATTTTTCTGTTTTTATCTCATACCGCAAAGTTCCTTTCTAAGCAAATCGTAGCAATTACTAAAATAACCTAAGTCATAACAGCCAGCAGTACTGCATGCACGTATTGTAGAAATCCCCAAGTCTGTATATCCATATCCATAGTCATTATCCCATAAGTGTATCCCATAAGCGTATCTTCACCCCGGAAGTGCGCAAGAGTGTAAGTCAAGTAACGAAGTAAGCAAATATTCCCATAAAGTATCCCCCAACGCATCCCATCATATCTCCGATCGAGATCTCTCGTGGAATTCTGGATGTGATGAACGACGGGTTCTTGTAATCTGTAGTCTGTAGTCTGTAGTGTTGGTACTGGTAGTGTGTTCCCGTGTCTTGATTGTATGTATCCGTTCAATTTGAGTGAGAGAGAGAAAACGATGAATGCAAAATCAAATTCGACCACAGATGTAACTCCTTCAAAGCCGGTCTTCCTATCTCCATGTCAAATTAGAAACCTAAGCCAATGTAAAAACTAAACCAAAGAAGACAAAACGGAAAAAATTAAAGCAAAGAGAAACAATGAGAGGAAAACCTCGAGAGAGAAATCAAAAGAATGTGAGTGATTGATTGATAGTGAACAATTACATCCAAACATCTTTTGTTTGTATATCTTTTGTAAACATGTGTATGCATAAGTAGCATAGGATGAGTGGTAGTCGTGCGCCGTTACCGATTCCCAATTCGCCGAACAATTGCTTGTGCTGTAGTATCTTGAAATGAAAGGTGCTTGATCCATTGCTAAAGTAACAATGGAAGTAAGCGGATGAAGAAATGCTGAGAAGAGCTCAAAGTTTGAGAGAAGAAAATGTAGGGATGGGACCCCAGCCATCATTATCATCATCATCATCAGCTTCCTTCTTGTTCTTGTTATTGCCATTACCATCAGTATTACCATTTCCTCTCGTACCGGATTTGGACCTTGGGTGTAGGAGTAGATGCCATAACCACCTCCGCTGAAATCTAAGGGATTACATTTAAACACCAGCGCCACCACTGTAGCCGCCTATGTCTGGAAGGACAGTTTCGGTATCTGTAGGGCTTGGCCAGAATTGTTGCCGGTGGTCTTGGTATTGGTACCCCGAGAGTCATCTTCGGTGGCTTGGGCTCCCCATGATTGATAGCCGTTACTAGTAGCACTATAGGAATGATCTGCATTGGCATCCCAAGATTGATCATTGGTATAAGTATTGCCACCATATGACTGCTCCGCATCATAGTTGGTAGTCTCTGCCCAAGAACTTTCTCTAGATGGCTTAGGAGTAGCCGAGTACTCAGGCTTCTCTTGAAAAGATACTCGGCGTCGAAGCTTGACACGATCAAGCACAGCAGCCTTAGAACGAGCTGTTCGGAGAGTGAGATCAGTAGCATCATCAACGATGGTAGCATTGTCATCTTTGCCTGCAACGTCCTCGAGTGCGATTGTTAGCGTTAAGACGATTTGTTTCGTTGGGAACCACTGCTGCGTTGCCGTACTCAACATAGGCTGTATAGCTTCCAATTTGATCCCTGTATTTCTGGGAAGTGGAACGGACAGCATGGCTATTTTCGTCGACTTTGGAATTTGAAAATTCAGCACGTTCATGAGGACGACGGCTAGGTTCAATAACCGGCTTCTTTTTGAGAATTGCTTTTATGCTTGGTACGGCGAGAGTCGATTCAACTTCATTCCCACTGTCTGTGGTGTCACGAATAGAAACTGGTTGAGGGATCATGGATAAACGTGTAGAATCCGAAGCACTAAGTTCATACAAGCCTGCTGATGTTGAGGTTGTTGTGAAAGAATCGGATTGGGTGACCATTGAGCCGGAAGATTGAGAATCAGATGATCGAGAATGAACACGTGATTTTCGATTCTGTTCCAAGCGTTGATCAAGCTGATCGATTGTCGATGCATCCATCCATGCCTGATTTTTTCGAGGAGTGCTCTGATGTTGAGGAACTTTAGGTAAATTACTCTGAGAAGTTGAACGATCTCTACTTCTGGGCGCATATCTAGGGTCCCAATCACCGTTCAGAGTGGTGGGTCTGGTGCTCGAGGAGGTGTCTGGGTGCCATCCATAAAGCTTCCATAATTTTTGAATGAGCTACGTTGACGACGACGAGGTCCTGGGTTTGGCAAATTCTGATGAGCCATTTCATCTAGATAAAATTAGGTCAAGTTGATTTCAGATGTCATAAGAGAGATAACCTGGTACTTACAAGCTCTATTAAACTCTTCGCTAGAATCTGAAGAACGACGAATGGTTGAAGTATGATACATATCTGAAGAAGCACGCCGAATACTCGGTACGAAACTCCTCAGAGAGCTTAAGCTTGAACTTGTTCGGCTTGTAGTAGTCCACTTATACTGCGTCTCATTGCCATGCTGATCAACTTCAGAAGTAATATATGTTTCTCGAGTCCTGATGGGGGTACGTGGAGGACTGTGACGTCTAGCTTGTGGTCTTCTTAGATCATGCCTAAATTCAGTTCGAGATCTGGGTAGTTCATGCTCGGTCCTCGACCACAATGAAGTCTTCGTCAGAGGAGCGCGGGCGATGGCGAGGCAGGTGTCTTGGCCCATTTCGTGATTCAGGGTGTTCGTGTTCTGTTTCAACCACGATAATATCTTCATCGGAGCGACGACGAGGAACATACTCATGTACTTGCTCATGGATATCATGATCATAAGCACGCTCAGGGTATGCACGCTCAGAACGTCTGTGCTGAGCATCATCTTTCGTACGTAAATTTGGAAGAGAATCTTTTGAGAAACGAACAGATCTTGGCAGAGATTCGTATGGAGCAGCAGAGTGAAGTGGCTCAACGTACCTGTATGATTTATGGAGATCTTGTCGAGAGGCGGCTTGAGAAGTAGCGTTTGCTTTCCTCGTCTGCTGGTTAAAGTGGACTGACTTTTCTCGAATATCATCGACGATTGATGGTGGACTGACTGATAAGGATCGATTTGTAATATTAATTCTCACTTTTGGCTCTCCTCTAGCAGTAGAGTCTTCCTCAAAGGGATCCCTTTCACGAGTAAGAGTGTAGCTTCTGATGCTGACTGTCTTGTGTTTTTCTCACTTTTTCGAGCTGGGTCTTTGGGTGCGGGTTTGTGTTCGCGTGTAACTTCCTCCTCAACGATGATTTCATGCCGATGGTCGTTAGAGTGGGCATTGCCTCTTCTCTCATCATCTCGGCTCAGAAATTCAATAGAGCGAACTCGAGATATGGGTTTGCGTCTGTAATTCTTCTGAAAGATATTAGTGAGGGAACCTCTAAGATTAATGAGGAATCAAACTGACCTTTGAGCTTCTCACCTTTGTTCTTCTTCTTCCTCTTCCTCTATATCCATGAATATTTGAACGACTGTCATCACTGTCATCGCTACTTGATCCACTAGTAGAGGTAGCGCTTCTACGACACCTGCGACAAAACCCAGGAGTGGGAGTCTCGCCAGCCTTGATTGGATTATCAAGATGATATTTAGAAGAACGATCTCTTTGGCAGCTGACACAAATATGCTTGGTGATAACGGTCGTTGTAGTTGTCTTTATCTCTGTGTGATCATCATTATCTCCGTCTCTTTTTGACTTTGACTTCGCTCTCTTAAGAAAATCAGATTCAACTTTTCGAAGTTCTTCAAAATTTGGTGGCTTTGATGCTTTTGGTGGAAACGCCCATCGCATGGGTTGTTGTGCAGGTACAGGTGCAGGTGCAGCAGGAAATCCAGGAAATCCAGGAAGAGGGTAGAAAGGAGGAAATCCGGAGGTTGTTTGAGGAAAGAAATTTGGATTCGGAAAAGGCTGTTGAGGGATGGTTGGCGCATAAGGAATTGGTGGTGGTGCAAAAGCGGGAAAGTGTTGTGGTGGGTGCGCTGTCGAATAAGGAGGTCGTTGGGATAGGAAACGCGCCAGTCTCTTCTTCTTCTTCTTCAAGGCTTCTACAGAAGCTTTTCTCTTTGGTTCATGAATTCCAAAAGCTTGACCTAGCAAACTGAAATTCTTCTTTGCACGATTTGTAGGAACCCTTCTTGCATCACCATGCGGCCATTATTTTTCTTGAAATAATAGGGGTATCCGTCTCTTACAATCTCCTCGGTAGTATCAGAGCCATCATCGCTCCGAGAGCCAGCTCGCAACCTGATATCAATGATTAGAACAGAGAACGTTGAGAAAGAACCTCAGTCGAATTGCTTAGCTCGAATGAAGGAGAAAAGACTTACATAGTAAGCATTTTGGCAACCGAATTAGGGGATTGTTATTTGTTCACCAGCCGAGGACTGTCCTAGGATTGTTGTCTGGGGATTTTATGTTGTCTTGTTACTGCTCCGACACAAAGTAAACGAATGGAAATCCAGTAAAAACGTCGGAAAGTAGATGAAAGAAGTGAAGTAAAATGATAGCACAAAATCACCAGATTCTTGCCTACCATTAAGCAATTAATATTAAAATTTGAATACAAAGCCGACTCAATGAAAGAAGTAAAAGAGAATCCGAAGTGCAATTTTGTCTTAAAAAAGTTGGTTGTATAGGTGTGCAAAAGAAGATGGGAGAAACCAGATATTCAATCTATGTTATGATGGTTTTCTCGGGCTCTCCCTATTCGGCTATCGTCAACATCACTGGCATTGACCAACCTTAAGCCTCATCGATGAATAGATACACAAACAGAGATAATTCAAAAGGTATGATTCACTGTTATCGACCCATAATCATGAATAGGTGGCAGGCAATGCTTCCTCGGGTTCTTATCGGTTATTGAAGAATCCCATTTCGACCTTTGAAGTTAAGGTGAAGGAGCTCTCTTATCCAAAGGTTGAACAACGTGGGATGGAAAAGTGAAGGGAAACAATGCTTCGAGCTGTATTATGGGAAAGAGCAGGTGTTTTGTTCCAGCTAACACTAATTAGTAATAACTGCCTAGGTAGGTAGGTGGTATGTTATAATGGAGTGAATCATTGCTGCAAGTAAAACCATGATGTTGAAAGAATCTCTCAGCTTTGCACTAAAAGTTCTATTTGAAGGCTATGAAGGAAAGGAACTGAATGTCAAATGGATCTCATACCTGTCACATCAATACCTGAAGTCAATTGAACCTAACGCAGGGCCATATTTACGAGTACATTTTGTTTTCTATACATAACATTGGACTCGCGCTATTTTTCAATGCGCCCAACCCAGGATAAGGAAATATGATACAAAGCAAAGTTCATCTCTTTATTCAACTCTCAAAACTTTTGGCCCTCTCTTCTTTATTGTCTTCTTCTTCTTGTTTCCTCTATCGAAAGATGCTGCCGATGCATGGTCTCGGCCAACATTGTCAAGGTCTTTCACCTTGTAGATTCGGATGATCCAATTCTCACTAGTGAATGCTTCTTCAACCGTGTTAAGAACTGGTCCAACTTCTGGCATCTTTACGCCACGAACTCTATCTTGGGCCTGTCCAGGTGGAAAGAGGGAGTTGTAGTTGTAGTATGACATTTTGTACCTGTTGAATGATTAGCAAATTTTCAAAAGTGATATGATCAGCGTTACTTACATCAAGCTGTCTTTCATGGTTTGAGTGGCACCGTCATCAACTCTGTATTCTCCACGCTCAGTGAAAAAGTCACGTTCCTTAACCTCATCTGGCCAGATTCCTTCGGCAATTCTAACCATCCACAAGAACTTGTTGATATCATCTCCAGAGTATCCAAGGAGACCACCGAAGACAACAAGAACATAATCGACTTCATGTTGGCGCATTATAGGGTAGCTGACCTCCTCACGAGAGCTCATTGCCTTTCCAACAGTCGCGATGTGGGTGTTGTTCCAGGTATTGTTGTCGACGAGTGTTGGTCTGTCAGCCATACCACCAATCTGATAACCATAATCCCACCAGGACATGATCTTCGCATCTTCCTTGGTGTTTTGTCGTAACCATTGATAAGCCTCTCTGTAATCATCGATGATATGCTGACTACCGTCCGGCATTCTACTAGCGAGCACGACAGATGGAGAAGAGTAGGCATTTGATGTGACCCAAGTACAGTGGAGAACAAAGATCAAGAGATATGTTGTCATGGCGCCAACAACGGAAATCTTGGAGAAGCTGGCATAGATACCGACCAGAGGTTGACGCATGGAGCGGAGTTCCTCTTGTTTAGCGGCCTTCTTTGTGGTGCCATTGCTAGCACCATCAGTTACAGTAGCGGTTGTGGTTGGTTCTTCAGGCGACTTGATGGTCAAGTAAGTGTCCAAGATATTGGACAATGCCAAAGCGGCAGCCACACAGACGATTGGGGTCAAAGTAAGCATTAATCTAACCATGACACCAGAGAAGTAACTGGCAAGAATTGCGTATACAACAACGAAAACTTGCTCATCGGCAAGCTTCAAGAAGCAAAGGTAAACACCAGCTGGGAAGAGCCAGATGAGAAGGTTAAGATCGAAGAAATAAGCTGGCCATGCGGTTGGCTGATGCTCAGAGACAGAGGCAATGATAGGGATGTGAATCTTGGCGTATCCAGTATCCCACAAAGAGTAGAAACGACCAGTCCAAGGAGCAATAACACCAGAGACGGTCAAGAGTACTAAGCCACCAAAGGAGATGGTGAAAACGGCAAGGACAAACCCTCTAAGGAGAGTAGCGAATTGCTTGCTTGGTACACCCGAGCGGACAAATTCGACGAATCCAACCAATTGAAGAAGGCCGAAAACACCTGAACAGATTAGCACATAGACATTTCAAAACAAGGCGATTGAACGTACCGAGAGCAGACATATGCTCACTACTGCGAATTGGCAAAAATCCTACAAATGGAATTTGCATGCTTGCCAACGTGCCTAGTGCGTACCAAGTACAGTAACTAACATAGACTCTTGGACTGAATCTTCCCATGCAGACTAATACAAAGACGTGAAGAGGGATCAAATTCGTAATGAAAACATATCCACCCCAGGCTGATACCATGTATCCATAGAACAAGGCGCAAAGAGCACCCCAAAATGCAGATCCGAGCTTGATGGCTTTGATCCAGAGGTAGAACGTGAAGACGAGTAGGAAGATTGCAATGGCTTCGTTATCGTAGCTGCCTGCAACTGATCGCGAAATGTAACCTGGAGCAATTCCCATGAAAATAGCTGCGAGAAGACCGGCGGAAGGGGATGTGGACATCTCATTGGTGAAGAGGTAGGTTGCGAAGGCAGTCAGACCAGAGAAACCAGGTGCAAGAAGCACACAAATGTTTCGAATATCGACTGGTATAGTAAGAGCTCGAAGGGCATGGTAAATGACACCACTGGTGACCATGAGACCTGGGTATAAAGTTCCTCCCGTAACTCGACCAAGTGGATGCCATGTTCGGTCGTCAAACCAATCCCAGAAATCGTAGAACCCATTCGAGACCAAGTATTTCGTAGCTCTGAAATTGAACCAAGGATCAACTAAAGGTAAGTTAGTTTCCGGGCATTCATTGAGGGTAGATCTGGAGCAAAGAGAGCTCCGTCCATTGAGGGTCCGTTGGGTACTAACATTCGTGAATTATACTCTCGAATCCTAAACATAATTATATTAGCATTTATTCCACAGCTTGAGCATTGGCAGAAAGCACGACGAAACTGTTATGCCCTTCAATGCCATGAAGAATGCAAATGCTCGGAGTATTATGTGTGAAGCTCGAGGTACTTACGAATCACAGAAAACAGTCGACTGGCAATTGCAGCGCCAGCAATTAAGCAAAGAATAACAATTCTTAATACCCCACGAGAATTCTTTCCCGTACTCCCTTGGAAGAACGGTTCCTGAGTTTTTGCAACCATGTTGATGGCAGCTATGGTGAAAAGGAAAGTTTGTCGCTGGTTGAAAGATTCTCTGGAATTAACACATATCTGTTCGCAATGCCGCACTTTCAGAGCTCCGCGTCAGTTCACAGGGATTAATAAGTTCAGTGACCCGCCGCAACTAGTTTGAATATCACGTGAATAGATCAACACATCAATGGATCATTCCCTATTTGTGATGTGTACCAAATGTAGGATGCTTATCTCAACATCTCAAGAAGTTTTACTATGTGAATAATGATGTTTTGGAGCGCAAACTAATTTTGTATGGCTCCGGTTTGAAGGGAAGAATGTATTCCTTGCTGTATTCTCTGATCCCGTCATTGTCAAGCGAAGCAGTGCGAAGGATTTATGCTCTGTAGAAAAAAATGAGGTGTAATTATTTCTCTACAATTTTCTTGTAGATAAAGCGGTTGTATATGTTCCTGGCTGGTTTGGCCTGTCGATGAGAAAAATGATTACCTCAGTATACTCATTCCATGTGAACAAAAGGAAGTATTGGAAGTCTTTCATGATCCAAATTCGGAACATTCGACGTGTACTTCCTTCTTCTGTGGTCCTCGTAGGTGAAAATTGGGTCTCCAACAACAGAAGCTCCCAGCTGTATTGGTCGTCTATAGTACAATGTACAAGAAGTATCACCTAAGTGATGTCTAAAGGCTTTTGTGTGTTTGCTCAAACCCTAGAAACCCTCTCCAAACATCGCCGGAGCCCATACCAACTACCACGAATGGTCTCATTCAGCGATGCCCCTCTATCATTACCCATAATTAAAACCCCCATCCCACGAATGCCCCTAGTTCTCTGCTGCTAGAACCTTCAAGTATGCCTCGAGATCGAAATTCTTGTCCATAGGATCCCGTATAACTGTTTTTGAATGTCAGTAATGCTTCATCCAAGAAATTCGGCTCGAAGTCTCGAAATGGACTCAAAAATCCTCATTCGGTTGCAGATTTGAGCAGGTGTAAATGTGGTAGAGATTGAAATCTATTAAAACTTCACGTACTGTCACCACCTCCGGTTTTCTGGCTCGCAGGCAAGTTCTTCTTTGCGTACTCTGCTCTCGCTTGCTCAATTAACTTTTGCTTGTGCTCGAATTCCCTGCTTGCTGCTGCTGCTTTGGCTGCAGAAGATAGGCTCATTTGGTGGTAGAATCCGTAGAATACACCCGCACCAAGGGCTGACCACCGCAGAACCTATAGAAAAATCTACATTAGCACTGTCTTTTACCAATAGACCTGCGAAGAATAGATTCCAACTTGGAATGAAGTCTCCGGGTTAAGGATTGCGCGAAGTCTTAAGACGTACGTTTACCCCAGTTGAAGCCATCGGGAATAGTTGTAAGAATATGCCGGGGATGATATGGTGAGAAGAGTAGTGGCTTAAGAAATACCAATTGAACTCGGTATCACAACGAAAGGCAGGTAGGGTGATTGTTGTCGGCGATAAACTTTTTCAAGGTGGTCGGATGAAATATCGCCAGAGCAAGCTTCAGCGGCATTTTGCGGGACCAGACTTCCACGTGATATCTAAATTACAATAATGCGCTTTCAACAAACGCGACTTCTATTATGCGTGTCTACTTGTATTTATGAACTGTAATAACACAACTTCATATTTGGGTTCAGACATTTGCTGGAATACTCAACCACCATCTGCGAACTTTAGGATCTTTCAACAACACGATATTGCGGTAAATTAAAGGTATTTGCCCATGAGATGGGCATAGAACTCCCGCAAAATGCAACAACGACGAGATGAAATTCTGGCGAAGAAAGCCAAACTTGCAGAGTTAAAGAGACAAAGAGAACTTCGTGCGAGAGAAGTTTCCGTGAGCAGACAGAGCATAGGAAGTGGAAGTGATGTAATTAAACTTACCCTCATACTTGAATTAAACTTACAAGCCATAGCTTGCATCACCGACACCAGGACGAGCCGATAATCGAAGGGAACTTGACAATCTAATTTCCAGCTTAGTTGGAGATAGTAGACCTGGATCGACTGGCCCTGGCGGAGCAGGATCACCTGCGAGAGGGAGTCGACCAAACAGTGTATTAAGTGCCGGTGAACTAAGTAATGAGCCTTCCGAATCGACCATATCGACTGCCCAAGTCTCGCAGACCCAAACATTATCAATATCGACTCCCCAGTCTCTTTCCACAGTTCCATTATCTACAGTCTATGAGTTTCCGCCATCTCCAATTAAGGAAGTATTCTCATACAGTAAAGGGGTACAAACAACTGAAGAATGGGGTACACAAACCTCTAGGCCTCGAGGTTTCGACGATTCGGAAGATGAACTCGACAAACCCCCTGGAGTTCATTCACCAAGCAAGCGGCTAAGCAGGAGAGAAAAAAATAGAGAGGAAGAATTAAGGGAGAACATTCGCCGGGAAATCGAGGAAGAGCTGAAGGCAACTCGAGATCTTGTAGATGGCTCTGTAAGACCAGATTCTCAGCATTTATCAACAGAAAATTTCCCTGCGAGAACTCTGACGAATGAAGAGCTCAATGCTGTGACATCGTCAGAAGATTTTATGGAATTTGTTGAAAGATCAAGTAAGGTTATCGAAAGAGCATTAGATCAGGAATACGATGTGCTTGCAGATTACGGATTAAGTGGCGCAAATGGAGTTGGGGACGACGATGAATACGGTAATACAGGCGGAAGGGGTCGACGGAAGATAAAGGAGGTTGCCCAATTCTACGATGAACGATGGTCAAAGAAGAGGATGATCAGTGCTATTGATTTCTCACCCAAATTTCCAGAGCTCGTTCTTGCAGCATATACAAAGAATCCATCTGCACCACATGATCCTGATGGACTGGTTCAGGTCTGGAATATGCATCTTCACGATAGGCCAGAATTTGTGTTTCATGCACAATCAGATGTTCTCGCTGCAAAATTTTCCCCTTTCCACCCCAATCTGATCATTGGAGGTGCTTACAGCGGTCAAGTTTTACTCTGGGACACAAGAGCAAAATCAGCACCAGTTCAAAAGACGCCTTTAACTGGATCAGGACACACTCACCCGGTCTATTCTGTCGATATCGTAGGAACTCAAAACGCAAATAATATCATATCCTGCTCGACAGATGGTGTTATGTGTGGATGGACTGTAGATATGCTTGCGCAACCACAAGAACTACTTACATTAACAACTCCAGCACCCGCAAAAACTGAAGATATGAGCCCAACTTGTATGGCTTTCCCACAAACTGATCCGACATATTTTCTCGTTGGTTCGGAAGAAGGAACTGTGTATTCTTGCCATAGATATGATCGAGCAGGTGCCAAGGCAGGTGTTGATCAAAGAGTCACTTACCGTGGCCATGCAGCACCCGTCATGTCTTTGAATTTCCATCCAGCAAAGGGTCCTGTTGATCTTGGCGATCTTGTTCTTACCAGTTCCTTGGATTGGACCGTTAAATTGTGGAAAGTCCGGGCCCCAACTGCGACAGCAACAACTTCTATCTCAGGAGAAGGCCAGGCAGTCGCTCCATTATTTGATTTTACCAGAGAGGATCTTGTCTATGACGCAGCCTGGTCACCTATAAAACCCGGTGTATTCTCACTTGTGGATGGAGCAGGTAATCTAGAAGTATGGGACATAACCGTGGACACTGAGGTCCCAGTGTCTAAAGTCCAGCCAAGCGGCCGAAAGGGTGGTCGAAGCATTATGTCCAAGAGCTTGAACAAACTCGCTTGGGAAAAAACTGAAGGAAAACGTATCGCAACCGGTGGTATTGACGGTGTGCTTTCAATATTTGAGGTTGGTCCGGATCTTGGGGGCAAGGATAGTGCCAGAAGTGAGGAATGGGCGAATGTCAAGAAACTGGTGGCTAGAATGGAGTCATCGGCACAAAATGCTCATGATGTGAATGGCATCAACGGGTTGTAATTAAGACATAGAGGGAGGCGATACTTGCTGAGGCGATGAGATAACTCTATGTGATAGATATGGCGTCGTTGCGTTGAATATACCCTAGTTAACAATCGACATGATTGCTTCTTGTTCCTTTTTTATTCATTTCTAATTCTCGGCTATCTCATATACACACGGGACGTAAACAACACACCGATATGGATGGCCAAGCAGAATTGGTCCACTTTTACCCCTGCATTATAATCCCACGCTGACATAACCTCCCATGGCAGGAAGCTTTCTGTCTTCCTAACTTTCAGGTCAACCTCCTTCGTAATTAGAAATCCAAATTCAGATCGCCTACCTCTTGGCTTTTACTTCATCTGCACGAAAGAGGCACATCTTGAAGGAAAATCCACAGTGGGGCTGTGTCAAATCTAGATCACGGAGCATGTCATATTAAGCCTCCAGGATTCTGTTACATGACTTATTCTCACCTCATATATCTCTACATCAAACCAATTGTCTAGCTTTCCCCCTGATTCTAACCAATACTATCAGTCCCAATGTTATATCACTACACATCATAGATCCCAAAACCCAATTGCAAAGATGGCGCCCACAGCGGCCGATCCAAAAGATCTCAAACTTATTCTCAACCCTGCACGTCGAAGAGCCCTCAACATCCTAATCGGATCCATCACAGAACACATGCGCAAAATAATTACAGATTCTTTTTCTAACCCCTCAAATCAACCAAACTCCAATCTAAACAACAACATTGCAGGATCTAATCCAAATGTCTCTTCCTACCCAAATGTCCACTATTCCAACACCTCCTCGCCCGCTTCAACACCAACTTCGGAACGCGCTCAAGAAACAGCCCCACAACGCCGTCTTGAAGCCCGTCTAAATCAAAATCTTTCAAGGCCCAAACTACAAGCTTTGGAAAAAGCAGCTCTGAATTACTTCGATTCTTGGCGTGATTCAATTATCACACAATTAGGCAAAATTTTGAATTCCCCAGATGATCCCCGTGCAGATCAAAAAAAGAAAGAGTTTCTCGCTTCGAGGCCGCCGCCTCCTTATAGCCCCGCTTCCAATAACAACAATGAACAAAGCAAAGACATCCTAGCTTTCCAGACCCTCTACCCTCCAATCCCCACCCGTCTAACTACCATTTCCCTTCAAGACCGCATCCACATAGTCTCAAGTCTTCTCATTATCGTTCTCTCCCTCGGAACCTACTCTGCCCATTCCCGCGTTCTTCTCTGCACACTCACTAGTTCCCTCTCTCTCCCCCCTTCCCTCCTCACCCACGAGGAAATCCAAACCTCGCGCACTCTCCTTCTAGCCTCCAAAGCTGCCCTCAACGCCGACGCCGAAACCGCCGCTCGCGCAACCCAGAATACGTCTTCCCGTCGTTGGAAAGTCGGGCTTGCCTCTGTAGCAGGCGCCGCTTTGATCGGTGTCACCGGCGGGCTTGCGGCTCCCGTAGTCGCTGGTGCTATTGGGGGACTCATGGGCTCGGTTGGTTTAGGAGGCTTGGCGTCTTTCCTGGGCGTTTTTTGTATGAATGGGGCGCTGGTGGGAACGTTTTTTGGAGCGTACGGAGCACGGATGACGGGGGAAATGATGGATAAGTATGCGAGGGAGGTGGAGGATTTTAAGTTTCTGGATGTTAAAGGAGAATGGGGGGAATTTGGGACGAAAGAGGAAGAAGAGGTGGAGAAAAGGAGGTTGAGGGTGCTGATTGGGGTTAATGGGTGGGTGGGGGAGGAGAGGGACATTATTAGGCCGTGGAGAAAACTTGCTACAAGCGAGGGAGACGAGGATAATGGGCATGGATGTGAGGTTTTTGCGCTGAGGTATGAAACCAATGCATTGGTAGAGTTGGGAAATAGTTTGAAGGATACGGTTGGGAGTTATGCGTGGTCGATGGTTAAAATGGAGATCTTGAAACGGACCGTTCTGGCTACTTTATGGGGAGCATTGTGGCCAGTCTACTTATTGAAGATGGCTACTGGGATTGATAATCCTTTTGCGAGAGCTAAGAGAAGGGCCGAGAAAGCTGGAGAAGTCCTGGCCGACGCGCTCATCAATAGAGCTCAAGGAGAACGTCCGGTTATGCTAGTTGGATACTCATTAGGGAGTCGGGTATGTGTCAACTTCTTTTTTTTTACTATCTCACCGTACTTTCAAATGTTCACGCTGGACAAGACATTGGGAAACACGTTTAGAAGACATTTTTCAGAGTTAGCTAATTCTCTCCTCGTAGGTAATCTACTCGTGCCTCCGCTCTCTCGCCGAACGCCACGCCTTCGGTCTCATCGACAGTGTGGTGCTAATCGGCTCTCCAATCCCCTCGTCGACTCTTTCCCGTATGTCCCTCCTTCTTTCTACTCATTTTTCCCTCTAACACCTCCCTAGTTCTCCCCCTCCGCACCGTCATCTCCGGACCCCTCTTGAACGTTTACAACCCCTCTGATCTTCTCCTCGCCTTCCTCTACCGTTTCACCTCCCTACAGTACGGAATTTCTGGTCTACAACCAATTGAGCACATTGAAGGCGTCACCAATATCGACGTGAGTTCTAAACTCAATTCGCACCTGAAATACGAAGGGGTCATTGATAGGGTTTTGGGGACCTACGTATTTCCCAGCATGAGTAGTGTTAATGAGGAGAAATGGGAGAATGGAGGAGAGGGAGAAGAAGGCATTTCAATGATTGATGGCGAGGGCCGGGTCAAGAAGGATGGAATAGAGGAAGAGCTATTGATTGATTTTGGAGAGGTAGCGGAACTGGAAGCCCATGTTCCATTGCCATCCGGACAATTGGATAACAAGAATTCCAACATCCCTTCGACTACTAGTAACTCGTATGATCTGGAAGACTTATTAGGCTCGCCAGCAACCCCGACAGAAACAGTCACAAGTACGACTAAAAGTATCTCAGGTACTCATTTCGCTTCACACTCAAACGGCACTATATCACCCAGCATTACCACAACCACAGCTACACTTGCCACACCAAATACCACCACTCCTTCCTCGCCATCTCCTTCTTATTATTCATGCTCCGAAGACGAAGGAGGAATCAAAATGATCGACAACGATGATGATCTAGATATGCATATACAATTGACCGCTCCAGAAACCCCATCTACGTCATCCAAGAATGAGGTTTGAAGGATCGAGAAAGGAAGGACTAGGCTTGTAGTAACCGAACGATCTATCGATGATGTGAAACATGAATCTCCCGTAGAGCCGAAGAGCTTGGGCTCTTTGCCCAGAGGAGACAGAAAAATGGCTGCTGATTTCGGATTGTATTAATAAATATTTGCGCATGGTTCTAGCTTCAGTGGAAATGAGATTGTAGTAATGCAAGAATCACAAGTCACGAATCAATAAGTTCACATAAGTTCATTAATTGAAGTTTAAACAATTTCATCATTATATCGTGAAGTAGATAGAAACAAAGTTGGTATCGAGCGCTATTTACGCCACATCAAAATCGCCGAGGAGGTATCCCTTTCTCTCGACATAATCCCAAACTCCGTGGAACCACAAAGTAGGAATCAAAAAATAATCCAACCCTAATCTATACATGAACTCCAGCGCAACATGCATCCAAACCATAAGCGGGAGCTAGACTCCATTATGAACATCTGGAAGAATGCAGTAATCCACCACCGACTCTTTCTCATCCGTTCAAGGAAGGTTTGAGGCAGGGACACCCAGGCCAACAAAATGACAACTCGCACAACGACCAAGAACTGATGTTTTCTCTCCAAACAGCAAACTTAGAGGGATCTAGCACGCTCCAAAGCGGCTAGCATACGACCTCAGATCGACAATTAAGTCTGTTTGCGTTGGTAGAGCAGCAAATACGGTTGGTTACCCCCCAAAGCCTTTGCCAGAGTCGTAGCATTGTAATATGAATCGTTAAAGCAACTCCAGCGACCATCGGGTCCACGAGCATCACAGGTGTAATGTCCGTAGTCGAGGCTACCAGAGTGCGAAACAGATGCTACAAGCTCGTACTCCATGGAGTCCTTGCTTCCACTAGGGTCGCGATAAGGACTGAGGTCGAGGGTATGGTCGATCGGAATAGCAAGCTTATCCTTTCTTCCATCATAACCAAACCGTTTAAGCTGGACGAACAAGATATCCGGTGCGTGACTGATCGACTGTACGCGATGAACGTCCCCCGTTACCTTACACTTCTCGCACTTGTAACCTTCAATGGTCTCATCCAAGTACTTTTGCAAGTACGAGGAAACAGAGCCACCTCGGATACGCGGCTTGAGGGGTATGGATAAGGCTAGTTCATCTTGTAAGTCTCCCACAGAGACGTTATCACAGTGATCACATTTGATTCTGCTGCTCAAAACAAGCTGCATTATCGACTGCATACTGGCAACGCTCCTGAACAAACAAGGTCAGTAAGATTTTGATATAGACGAACGAGAGGAAATAAAACTTACGACGCCTTGATCTGTTTCTCAATCTTTTCCAACATCCAGGTAATTTGCTCATGGGGATCACCTTGACCAGAGGGTCCAGGATACCACCCAAGACGCTTGCACTGAACCTCGAGTTTTCTCAGAATTGGTGTGATATCCTTGGAAGGAACATCAACGGTCCAATACTTTGAAGAGAGAAGGCTAAGAGAACAGGCCAAACAATCTCTTTTGGGTATGTCGCCTAGTAATCTTTGTGAGCTAATGATCAACAAACCCTCAAATAGAGAATAGCTTACAAGTTTCCACAGGATGTTGGTCAATTAAGAAATTGAAGAACTTGGGAAGATGTAAAAGACCTTGTAAAAGACTGTTTCTGTAGCATGCATATCCAGTAACATTGGACAGGCCCCTCTGTGCATTTGATGGCATGCGTGTTGAGTCATTGCGTACTTTCGAGGCCTAAGAACATGAGAATTAGTATGAATAAATGAGTGATAGTTGATGAACATACCAAGTATCTTCGCTTTCTTAGCGAGTCACTGCGTGCCTTCTCCAATTCTTCTTTCGAAAGCTTTGCAGCCGGCTTGGAATTGGTAGCTTTCTTGGTAGCGACTTTCGAGGCCTTGGCAGCAATTCGTCGTTTCTTTGGGGATTCACTCTGAGCAGCAGTTTCTTCATCCTCATCATCTGGCCGTGATCTCTTTGGAGCGTTAACCTTGACAGCAATCTTTTCGTCTTTAACAACAGGGTGAGGTCTTGATGGCTCAATGCTTTTGATAGTGATCGTGTTGCTCTTTGCCTCGGAAGTTGTTTGTTTAAGAGGATTGACTTTGGTGGTTATCTCATTTTTATCATCTGGACGTGGTTTGTTCGGTAAGGAGGCGGCTGGCTTCGAGGGAGCTAAGACAGCAGACGATGGGGGCGAGGGTAGTGGTATCTTTTGAGTAGCGGATGAAGAAGATGAAGGTAGAGGCGTCCTTGATATAGCCGAGATAGCGGATGAAGGGGGTGGAGACGGAGGTAATTTTGAAGAGGTGGGAGGAACAGATGAAGGGGTTATGTTGTCAGACCCCTTTACTGATAGGGAAGAAATAGATGGAGAGGTAGGTGTGCTGTTGAGATTCTTTGATGGAGATGAGGAGGCAAATGGGTTTTCTCGAGGAAAAACAGATGCCAATGATTGAGGAGTAGAAGTAGATGGCTCTACTGACGGAGGGGTATCGATTTCTTTGGGGTGAACAGTAGTTTCGGCGGCTTTCATTGGTGGCGGAGAGACAGACAGTTTTCTCGGAGGTGAAACAGACGTCTTTGAACGAGAATTGGATTTCGCTGCGGGATGCGAGCTAGAAGACTTGGTTGATGGTGGTGGAGAAACAGATGATTTCGAGCTCGAATTAGAAGAGGAGGATGCTGATCTTGCGGGAGATGACATCTTCCTACTACGCGCAGATCTTCTTCTATAATTCTTCGATTGAGCGAAGTACTGTGCGTACAGCTTGTTTTGACGTGGGTTCTTCATTAGGAATGACCGTGGGTTGTACTTGAATGCCCCCGTATAGTTGTATGCTGGCGTATTTGAAGAATCGAATGATGGAAATAGAGGTGTTTTGTACATCTTCATAACTTTAGTCGCCATTTTGAATAAAATCAATCCTCTATTGTCTTCTTGGTCGGGTCGGTGGCTGTAAAACGCGGTCAAATTGTTATTTTTTAACAATAGCAAATTTCGACAATACGCTTATTGTCTTTCTTTTCCTCGACGCGAACGTGTATTGTGAACGACGACAATAAGACTCGATTGGCTAACCAAAGTTTAAAAGAACTCAGTTTCGCTATTAAGTCTACCTTGTGCTGGTTATATATTGTGTTGATGTTCGATATTGTGGGTGAAGGTGAAACTAGTATGGGTTGTATCTTGCTTTCCACCTCAGCTTCCTCTTAAATTTGTAGTAAAAATCTGTATATATTGTAGAAGAAATTGGAGTTCTCGTTGGAACTTGATCGATGCCTTTAAACCGTTGAATTTCGAACTGTACATCGAGTCCGGAGCGTGGAAGTGCGTATCGTTCGTGGGACAACTGCGATCGCCGTAGTTAGGTTGCGTAGTAGTTTTATCTTGTAGTGAACAAGATGTACTATAAAGAGTTTTTTAATTGACCTCTCTGCAATACAATAAGATGTATCGTTGTCGTTGTATTCTCATTCACGTCGGAGTGTGGTGAAGGTGTGGTTTGGATTTGAGAAGAGCATATTTTTTTTCTCGAAAAAGCATCATCCACCAGTGATCCACATCGCATACCCACTCCACTCGAGCCACTCGAGCCACTGGAGATGTCTGTGGATTGAGCGGCCGACTGCTCCGATCCTCCCGAAAGCCCGGATAAATTATTGCAAACATGCGATGATCTTATCGAGCTTATCTAATCTGAATCTAATCCACTAACCTGACATCTCACCATCGTACTCATCCGACATCTCACATTGGATGTTTACTTCCCTGCTGCAAATTGCAAAAAGTATATCGCACAGTCGCATTCATCCATTTTTCCATTAAAGCCCTTGTCTCAAACAGCACCTGGGCAGTGCTTGATCAGAGACAATAAAACCTTAAACTGACCTCTGGATTCTCTTTCATTACTCATCACTGAGCTTACCCCCAGAGAGAGGATCGATTAAAATCTCTGCCCCTCATATACCAAAATTAACCCGGCACATTACACAACCTTCACTTCAAAATCTGATCACGAGATTCGGTATCCCTTTCTCGCCTACCCGACAGGGGATATCTATTTTACCCATCCTATTGCCAAGGTCGTATGCACAATTAAGAAATTGAAACATTGCAAAGGATTCTATAACACACACGCAGATTCAGGGGAAGGCATAAACTATCACTCATCTACCGAATCTATAAATACAAGAACCTACCAAATTACTCCCCATATATCAACCCTCCAATCCAACTCTAGTCACGAGACCAGCCTTCTCACCCCCGAAATCATGACTTCTCCACAACCAGAAGAAACCCACCCCAAGGTACCCAAACCCGCCTCAGCACCCGAATCCACACCCATAACCACACCCCCCGCCGCCCCCGAAACCTACGAAGAAACCAACGTCCACGAAGTCTACGAACAAATCGCCTCCCACTTCTCGTCCACCCGCTACAAAGCCTGGCCTATTGTAAAATCCTTTCTCCAAGGTCTCGCACCCGGATCAATAGGCCTCGACGTCGGATGCGGCAACGGCAAATATCTCCTCGTAAACCCCGACGTCTTCATCGTCGGTTCCGATCGCTCTACAAATCTCGCAAAAATAGCTAGTTCCCACCAACCCCATTCGGCAATCGTAGCCGATACTCTAGCATTACCTCATCCAGAAGGTACTTTTGACTTCGCGATAAGTATAGCAGTCATTCATCATTTATCTACTCCAGATCGTCGTCGTGAAGCCGTGCAATCCATCCTCGCCACTCTTTCCCCTTCAGGAAAAGCACTGATCTACGTCTGGGCCCTCGAACAATCTTCTTCTCGCCGGGGCTGGGACGAAACGAATCCTCAAGATGTGATGGTCCCTTGGGTAATGCGTACCGGCAAAAAAGTCGCGCCAGATGGAAGTATCACGCAACCAGCTTCCGAAAAAACCTTTCAACGCTACTACCATCTGTATCGGGCCGGCGAACTAGAGGAGGACATCAAGAGCGTAGGCGGCACGGTACTAGAAAGTGGGTATGAAAAGGACAATTGGTGGGCTATCTGCTCTCGAGGAGACTCACTTTTACCCCGAGCATCTGACCCCATAGTATGATATTGCTCGCACGGGATGACCACGGGAGATCAGCAGCAACTCGGGATCTGCCTGAACCGTCATGCTGATTCCTCTCGAATGTGCGCTGACGCGTCATACTGCATACATACATGCAAAAACCATGATCGACGTTGCTCTGGCCATGGAGAAGGTGACAGGACCCGAGTCGAGGAAGCGCCTGTGTAGTACAAAAGGGACCTGGAGGTCAATACCCACTTCTTCCAAGGCGGCAGCCGAGAAACAAAGTTCAGCCTGTTAGTATTAATCCATCATGAGAACTTGAACACTGTACTATTACCCACTGGACCTGAAGGCTATATCCAGAAATGACACTCTATAAACACATTCGTGTAAGATTTATCAACACATATATGCGTAGACACACAAATCATAAAAGCAATTAGAAGAATATAAAAGGGTTAAGATACAAAAAATCATAATACAATCTAGAAGGTATAGTTTCGAACACCATGCGTGCCTGCAAGCAATGCGTGCTACGCTACCCCATCTCAACCCCATTCCATCCCATTCAATGCAAATTCCAATTCATAAAGCCCTGATCCAAAGCCAAGGGATATTTTTCAAAACATCGCGCCATTCCAATATACAAGGTCCATCCCCATATGCTCACTCAACCCATCCATCCCGACCATACCCTACTTTACCCTAGAAGAAAAGAAAACAAGTGTAGAAACAGAAATTAACTTTTTCCTCAACGCCAATCGCATTTACACACGTTTCCATCGATGCATCCATCTATCCATCATATCATTGCACATAACAAACTTTCATCAAGCATCACGACGACCCTCATTGTCTTCTCCTAATACTATCCCGTGTCCCACCCTCCGGACTTCCCCTTCTCTTCCCATCGTTCCTCTGACCCAACATGCCAATAGCCGGTAGGAGGGGTCCAGGGCCAGGACTCGAATATCCACTCGAGTAGCCACTCGAATGCGCGGGCATCGACATCGCATAAGCAGGCGTACTATACGGACTCATACCTGTGGTCATTTCCGACAAACTAGGTAGATATCCTCCTCTACCCTGACCCATCATCATGCCCCCACCGCCTCCAATGGCCGCCAAGGCCAGGCCATCTGTTGGGCTCGTGGGTGGTACCGATCTAGGTGTGCTTTCTCTCCTGGCGGCGATTGTACGAGTGGCTCCTACACCTCTTGGGTTTGGATTTCCTTGTGCGGTACCAGGTCTACTGTATCGAGAACCTCCAGATGCTGAATTCATCGTGCTAGATGTGGATTGACTATATGAATGACCTCTCGCAGGCGAAGCTCTCGAACCAGAAGATGGAGCATCGAGAGTTACGCTTGAGAGAGAGAAGGGAACGACACCAGCACGTCTTGCCATATCGTTTTCGCCGAGTTGCCAGTGCATGGCCTCTGCTGCTCGCCATGGAACTGCCATTTCTTCAGCCACTTTTGACCACATTTCTTGCTTGAACCTAGATAGTCATGTTAATAACATTATTATGAGGTTGATATTCGAAAGAGTAATACCTTTCATAGAGTCTAGCGAGTTTGTTCTTTCGTTCTTCGTCCCATTCACTCCTGCGTTCCAGATAGTTTTGATAATGTAACCGACAACTAATAGCACTTCGACCCGGTAGCCTCTTAGAGATATCTTCCCACTTCATCCCACTGCCTCTTAGATCAATGATTAGAGCATCTTCGTCGGCCGACCATTTACTTTGCTTCTTAGCAGGAGATTCTGATGGATGGGCACCCATACTTCTTTTTCCGCCGGCTGCAGAAACGGCAGCAGCGTAGTTTGGTATTTCGGGTTGTGTGATTGATGACTGAACGGATGTAGATCTTGTTTGGTTTCTGTCGGGTGGTGATGTGGTCTGGGACTCATTAGAGTCCGGGTCCTTGAGGAGGAGGGAGATATCCACGGTGATGGTGAAGTCCCTGATACCGTCAAGGTCGACGGATGATCTGCGAGAAAGAGGTACACGGTTTGTTTCTGTGTTGATTTTCGATTTGTAGATCATCAAATTGGACACAAAGACTGGTGATGTGAGGATTCTATGGAGAATTGGCGCTGTACAACCAAAAAGAGTAGTATGTCGGTCGAAAGATAAAATGCTAAAGGAGATACAAGTCTTTGATAGATGTGAGTATGTAGTGGCGTGAAACAGACTAGATTATTCTTTAAGACGTGGTAGCTTGGATTGTTCGAGAAAAACTATCTTGAGACGATTTGGACTATTTCTAACGGGAGGACCACGATCCTATTTCAGGCCTTCATAGTAGAGGGAAATGCGTGGCTCGCCTATAATGTGATGGCCATAAACCTGATTGGTAAAGATATATCATTGACGCAGCCAATCGCGGTAGATTGGATGGAAAATGGAAAAGAGCAGAAGCCAACGCCAACGGAAGAATACGTCAAGTTTGTTAATGAGCTTGTTAAAGACAAGGGCATTGTTCGAACTGATCCCCACAGGAAATAACTAGGTTGAATGTTGGACAGTCGGTCGCGAGCATGCGAGATGCAAATAGAGTCCTTAGTGGGGGGGTCCAAACCAGGGTATGCTAGTGTGGAGGAAGGCCGGCCACGAATTCATGCATGAACATGAACATGAGCATAGTAATGCTTTTAGAAATGTTGCATTCTAGTGCTTCCATTGTTAAAGTTATGGAAGAACAGTTGAAACCTGGGAGCTGGCGCTTGAAACTGATTTATACTCCTTCAACCCCTCAAAGCTGTTTTAGACACATGTCTGTGCGTAATCGTGATCAAACTTGACTTTGATTGTAATTATCTGCACTTCACCAAATTTAATAGTGGGATGAAGGTTTGGAATGCCACAATAATGAAAAGGCTCATGATTTGATATGGGTTGCTTGTCGTCGCCTCAATCGGCCAACCACTGTAGATCCAAGATGGACGTCTGAAAAGAAGGAATTGGCGGTCTGGTTTGCAAGGGTAGTGGTGAGCTTTGCTTCAAGGATTATAATGTATGATCTTCATGGCTTGCAGCGCCTCTAAGTCCTCGATGAACCACGATCTTCCGTGGGGCAAGCAAGCCGAAAAGACCGAAGAAATCTATCAAGCCACATAGAATAAATTTCCCTTTATTTGGGTCGTTGGTGGCTGAAAATAAAGCTTACGCGACCGTTTAGGTCGGCTATGCCTCATCCAAAGTCCAAACCTTGATGCCTAATGAAGAGGAGTGTATTGCGTTGTTCTATTCTGCGTTTGTTTCTGTCGGTAGCCATCACAAGGAGCACAGTTACATACCAGTCCTTTCCTTCTAGCACACCTTCGGATACCAACATCTGGCGGTGTAAATTCATGTTGTCATGTGAGACGGCGCCATAATCGTGTAGACGGTTTGAGTCAGTAGAGCTTTTTTCAGAACTTTCGGAAACATGGTATCCATGAACACAGCCCAAAGCTTAAATGACTAACTCTCAAATGGCATACACGGCGGGCACTCAAAGCTTTCTGCAGTTCGCCTTCAGCCCTGATAATCCCATCCGGGAGGATTGGGGGCGGTGAATGCCCAGTTCACGCTTTGAGCTATCTTCTTAGCCTCAAAAAATAGAAACTTGTCAGATCAGACGAGAGTACCAGATAATTCCTGTCGCACGGCCTTGGAAAATAGCGCCTCAAGCACCCTCGCCCAATTGCGTGCATTAGCATGCTAGCAACACTTGACAACAATAGTATAGCTGTGCTGTCATTGTTGATTGCGGTGTCTCAGGTAGGATACATATTCTGCAGATATCCGTCGACATGTAGCTGTGCCCGTTTGTTTCCATTTACAATGGTCATTGTTGTAGGAAAGGAGTATTCTGCAGCCATCAAAGCCTGAGTAAGGCGGCTGTCAAATTAGGAAATGACTGTTATGTTAATTGCCTCATGCACAAGTATAGGTGGATTTAAGCGTAACTCGCTTTGCTGCCGATGTTATGCCATGAAAGCACGATCTCATCGTGAGTTCTCTAGCCGTCGGTGTAGAACTTCCAAGATGGGAAGCTTAGTAATACAGCTATCGTGTTTATCGCTCCCTCGTCCCGAATCAAATGTAGTCCGATCATTGTGGGGGTAGATCTTGCGAACCACCAAACCAAAGTCAAAAGTATGTACCTACTGCGTAGCTTAACTTGCTTTGATAGGTATTCAAAAGATGCAAAGATGCAAGTCGCGTGGCACTTCGGTGAGTGGCGTATCCTGTACAGGGCAGGGCTATGGAAAAGAACTCGTCTCAGAAAAGTCCAAACCCATGTCTGTTTGAGCGGTGTAGTATGCTATGCAATCCCAGAGAAGAACAATAGCACTAACTATAGTCATTTTGACAGGAATAATCGCGCCGAGAAGAGTTCGAGGATCGTCTCTCATTCAAATTCAATGTAGGGCTTAGAATTATTCATGTTGAGTTCCCGTATCTTTTTTGAGGTTTGTCCAATGGCGTAGAAGACATTGATACAAGTCAACAAGTCAGCAAGTCAGCAAGTCAACAAGTCAACAAACCAACAAACTAACAAGCAGACTGCAAACGAAAGTTAGCCAGCCAATTGGGGCAAGAACTGTTAGAGATCTCCTCCTGATCCTCTTTTTTTTTTGTTATTTTTCATACATCTCATCATGTTTGAGCCTTGCGACAAGACCATCCATAATCCATAATCCACGATCCATAAATGGGTCAGAGACTCAGATACTTCATCCTGCTATACTGCAATAAGTTAAGCCAGCGATCGACTGAAAGTTAACGTCCCTTTGAAACTTCTAAAGCACTGACTTTTTCAATCTATTGGTGGGGGATTTGAAGAAAGTGCTCACTCTGTGTTGAAAGGAGGGAAGGAAGATGTATCGATTGATGCAATGGATTATGGATGAAGCTTCCAAAATAGAGATGTCGTGATAAACATGTTCTAATTCTAATCACATTTCTCTCTTTCTCAAGGGATGATGATGGTAAATGAAGAAATCAGAGGAAGAAGAAAAAGAACAAAATTTTCAATCACATCGCATTAATTTTGATTGACCGATTGTGATATGCGTGTGATGGAAATAGATCGATAGACATGGTATTTGATTTGTCTCTGTGTGAAAAACACCAGGTACACCAGACCAGTACTTGCTATCGATGAACAGAACAGAATGAACAGATGCTTCCCTCGTGCCTGTCTTGTGTGGTGGTTACAGTTGGTGTATGCATCCAGTGTGCCATTGTATGGTCTCATTGGTCTGCTCTCTGCTCTCTGCTGCTCTCAGCTCTATCCAGGATGGACGTTGACAATACCTTTCGGCAATGTGCGTTGAACGTTCCTTCCTCATTTCTTGTTCATGTTACATATACTGGTGCTCTGTACCACCACCCAGCATGCCAGTGTCCCAATATGGATTTGAAATTGTAACTTGTCACTCCAGCTTCCATTGCAACTTCCAATATGGGGCATTGAAGAAAGAACTGTGGCTGATGGATTTGGAAAATAACCTTGGAACCTTGGAACACTTGCACACCTTGTTAATATTATTATTATTCCCTATTCTGGATGGATTTTTGGAGCTGTGTCACGTGCGTCAACCAGACCAGTTTTTCTATGGGTCGACAACAACAACTTGATGTATCATGGATGAACGCTTCACTCGCTCCTTTGTGACCCATAATCATCCTACTTCTACCAAGGAAAGTGCGGTGACACCTCATCTGTCTCCATAATCCAACTTTCAGATTCCCCATCGGGCTCTGCATTGAAATTCGAATCCCCCCATCGAATCTCTCTCGTCGGATCATTTCTTATTGTATACGAGAACAAACGGCAGTTGTCCCTCCCGCCTTCAAAGTTCAAAACGGAATCTGGTAACAACAACCTGGTCATCTTACGCCTGGCAAGCTGCAGAGATCCGTCAACCGGGATAGATTTCTATTTCAAGCATCATAAGGCATAGAAAAGGCAAAGAAAAAACCAAAACGTCCATACTATTCCATATTATCGTGTGGAACATTTCAAATACACATCCATACCTTCCAACCCTCTATCGATAAGGAAATCCTATTGGATCATCATCCCACTCGCAATTAACATCAACATTGAACTTTCTCGCAGATTTATTGATTGTGTAACCGGAACTTTGTACCTGGTCGCCTTATATCGGAAAATTTCAATCATCAAAGCCTCATCCGTTACGCCCTACATTCCTTCCAACTTCAACAACCATGAGTGGTATGCAAACAGCAGGGGATATCCCCATGATTGTCAAGTCAGAGAACTCTGGATCAGAGCGTCGTATTACTCCATCTTGGTCCATTGGTCAACTAAAATCAAAACTCGTACCCGTGACCGGTATCCCTTCCTCAGATCAAAAACTCACTTTGTGGATCAACAATCAACAATCTGTCGACATCCAAGCTCTGGATGAAGAGAATACACAACTGACAAACTTTCCTCTGGCACCACACGCCGTTATTCACGTGAGTTCGGAAATTTCTTTAGCTTCGTAACGCGAAACATGTCGTGGTACTCTAAGACCTTATCGTTCTGCAAGGCTGTCTGTCCACCTCGATCCCACGGATGTTATTTTCTCCTCGACATGAGACTTGATCTCCGGTATCGTATCCATACTAGACAAGGTTTTCATTTCAGCATCATATGATAGTTCATGCCGATGTTTGCCGGGTTGCCCCAATAGTTCATTCCATGATACTTGGGCCATTGAGATGATAAATCTTAAATTATAGTCTACTCAACTCGCTGATGTTGCTTTGTGTGGATTAGTTTCCTGCCCTACAGCTAGGCCAAGTGTTCCAAATTGCTCAGAGTGGAGTGTTTTGTCACGGACACGACAAGTTTTGTTCGTTGTCCATGAACTATTTGCCGCAGTCTGAGCTCCATCAAGTGGATATATTATTGCATTATCGTTAGTCTCACTCTGAGTCACGGTGTGCTGTATTCCAAAACTTAGTAGGCACCTGATACTTGCAAGCACAAACCTACTGTTCTCCATTGTTAAGTTTGGCAATCATTTTTGGAGGACACGTATCATTTTATGTCTTTCCCACCGGGTTCTCCCAACAAATTTATGTAGCGATACTTCCGCCAATTAGGCTTGGCTATTTATCAACATGCTAACACAAATCTTCCCAGGTAACTGATACTCGCGCCCCTGGTCTCCGTGAAAATTATACCGATGTCTCTGCAGTCGAGAAATACACTCTTCCCGTAGAATCCTACGAGAAACGCACCGACAGTGTTCTTGCGTGGAAAAAGAATGAAAAGCTCGGACGATTCAACCCTGATGCTCCAACTCTCCTTGATGCCAAACTTGCTGTCTACGATAATGAGATCAAAGCCAAAGGTATCTCTGTAGGCAAGAGATGTAGAGTTGGAGAAGATGATTCCAGAAGAGGTGTAGTGATGTATGTGGGTGACGTTGCAGAAATCCCTGGCGGGGCAGGAAAATGGATCGGAGTTAAACTAGATGAACCTGTCGGAAAGAATGATGGCAGTATAGCTGGAAAGAGATATTGGGGTAACGATGGCGATGGAAAATTCGGCGTTTTTGTTAGACCTGAGAGAGTGACAGTGGGAGATTTTCCAGTAATGGACGATTTCGAGGACATGGAGGAAATGTGAGAAAGCATGCAACTCATTTGCATTGGGATTGATCTTTCCGTGGAATCATCCCTTTTAGATACCTTTGAACGCGAGGCGGCGTATATTCGCATAAAATTGAAATTTACATTCTCTCACTTGGGTATGAAATTTATCTTTCTATTAAGGCGTATTACATCGTACGTTATTTGAAACCCTGCCTTGTCGAAAACTCTTTTTCTTCTTTATGCTTTTCATCCTCCCCCTTTATTCCACAATCCACTCCAGGAAAAAGACGAACACTCCTCCCTTCCCCAACATCAAAGAACCTATTATGGAACACGAACATAACAGATAAGTATACGTTCTTGTTATCTAACCATATAAAGTAACTTGCAGCTTGCTTGATACAGGAAATTCCCATACAAATCTTCCGGTATCTAAGCCCCTTTGCAATATCCTCAGCACGATGATTTTCTCGCAAACTTAACCACATCTATCTCCCATCTTTTTCAAAGCAGAAGTGGTTTTTGTTGGGTATCCATACCAATCTCCCAATCTTCTTTGTCTACACACTCACTGTTTTCATATTCGTGTCGCATTCTCTTGCGTATTGATTAATTGACTTGTGGGATTCATGTCGATTTGGAACTTCAATTATAAATATATAAATATATATATATGACTACCTATCTCATCATCTCCCTCGCTAACCTAACCTAGTCTACTATCATGATACATAGTTCGGATTTTGTAGAGTTTACTTTCTCTCTCTCTCTCTCTCTTTTCGAAACGCTTATGCTTCTATATTATATCACACCCATCTCTTTACCATTTCACCCATGATAGCTCCACCTCTTGACTCATATTCTTTCCTTGCATTCTCACATACAATTCAATTGCACATCCAACCCCCCAATACTATTTCTAGCTTCTTAATGCGTAGTCAAATATTTATAGATATATATATCATATCTATGTACCTGCCATATGTTCCCAATCGTAATATACTACTCCATACATGTATATATACATCTCCATCTCACCTATCAATTCTCCGCCAACAGTATTGGATATATTTCTCCTTTTGGGTGACCATCTACTTCGAGTCCTAATCCTACCTAAGTGGTATCTTGAGAGTGAATTCATCGCATTGTATTATATTGTACTATGTATAGAACAATCGAGTCTTATTACGATTCGTAAGAGCAGCGTTTGAGAGTTCATGTATTGGTAGGGTCTCAGTGACATCGAGGATACTGCTGGATAATGGAGATTAAGATAGATTGGTTAATGTGAATTTTTTCCGTAGGTATTTTTAAATTCGTTGTTTTTGTGATTGCTTTTCAGCGTCTTTCTCGCATCTCTTTCGAAATTCTCGGTCTTTCCGCGTCCTTTCTGATTCTCTATTAGGAGTTTGATTTCTCTATTGTGATTGGTTTTTTATAGGGAAATATTTACATATAAAATTTGAAAACGATTTTAGATAATCCCGATAAAATCTTCAAGTTGAAGTAAGAAATGAACAGATTCACATAAAAGTCATCATGTTACCCCTCTCCCAGTCCTTCTTCTGCTCTCTCTTCCCCGCCCCTCTTCCCCATTTCTCCATCCTCATCTAATTCCATTTTCGAGACTATCATCCACCCATCTCTAACCCCTTTTTTGATTACCCCCTCTACCTCACGCGTTCCACGCTTCATATCTTCTCTCCATCATCAAACTATCACTCTCTCTTTCCTACTTCTTAATCTCTTCTAGTATCCTCACTGAACCAGCTTCTTGTTCTACCCAACTCACCTAATACCGATTAATTCTAGATTCCGCTTCTATTCTTTGCCCTTTCCTCCTCTAACATCTTGTAGTATATTAGAGAAACCGCCCATGTTGATGTAATCTGGAAAACGGGTTGTAGAATCAGGAGATATGTAATTTGAATGATCGATTTCTTCGCCGTTTCGATTCGGCCGGCTCGTCGCACTAAGCCGACTTTGCGAATTTGAGGACTTTCTCCGAACATCTCGTAGCGGCGAATGACAACGTCAGTTTCGAGGACAGGTGACCCATTGGCTTGTGTGTTTACAGATGATCTATTCGTTTTTACTTCCTCAAATGGATATTCGTTTGCGAATTCCGTATCCTCTTGGTAGGACATAGATTCTTTTTCTCTTGTGACGATTCTTTTTCCTCTTGTACCAATTAGAACATTTTTTCTTTCTTCTAATCTCGTGAAGTATCAATATCTTCTCCGCTTATATGATATTCATTTCCTTCATTCAAATTCTCCCCATTGCCCCCTTTCCAATCCACACTAGCGAATGCATTTCTTGTCGGTCTCTTCGCGTTTTCCCATCCACTATCAGCTGATTTGTCTTCCCATACTCACGCCTCTGCGTAGGAAGACGAGATATTTTAAGGAAGAGATTTTTGGTTCTATATCATGGAAGACCACTTTGGAGAATCAATGGTGGAGCAATGCGAGGATTGGTTAGCATTGGTATTAGGTACCTAGGTAATTAGAGCTGTAGGACATCAACCGTGAGTTGAAATGGAGAAGCGATACTGGGATTGTGATACCTATGTTGAATGGTTAAATTGGGCATGTGCACACTAATTGTTTGAAATGCGGATGTGTTTGTATTGTACCGTCGGACTTCTTGATGTAGTAGCTCCGATGATATTGCACACAGCGGGTTAACATAGGTGGCGGATGTGGTGTAACGTTGACATAAGATATCAGATAAGATGGCGGGGTAATAAATATTTATGAACACCCGCATTGTGCCAGAATTGCCTTGTACGTCATTACCCATTATTTACTTCTTAAGCTCCGCGACACCAGATTTCAGTTAGATTCATAACTTGTCAACGATTCCATACTTGTTTCTACACCTGTCCTCTTCATCGTTTGCACGTGAAAACAATCAATAAGAACAGCACCATGACATCCAAACCATACGAAGTAAAATGGGGCATCTTAGCCACCGGCGGCATCGCAACCAGTACCTCCCCCCCAATCCCCAAACAACCTCAAACTAACCACCCCCAGCCTTCTGCAAAGACATCCTCTGCAACCCCGCCACGCGCGACGTCCACGACGTCAAGCACCGTATCATCGCCGCCGCCTCCTCCTCCTCCGCTTCCCGCGCCGAAACATTTCTGAAAGAGATCAACGCGCCCCCAGGTATCAAAGCCTACGGTTCCTATCATGAACTCGTTGCCGATCCCAACATCGACGTCATCTACATCGCCACCCCGCATTCCCACCATTTCCAAAACGCCATGTTAGCCCTGCACGCAAACAAACACGTGCTGTGCGAAAAAGCTCTCACGGTCAATTCCTCGCAAGCGCGTAAACTGTTCGAGACAGCCAAAGAGCGCAATCTGTTTTTCATGGAAGCGGTCTGGACCCGCTACTTCCCGCTGAGTATCCAAGTCCGGGAGTTGGTGCGAAATAAAGAGATTGGAGAGGTGCATCGCGTGTTTGCAGATCTCTCGATTGCAGAGGCAAACGAAGATGGCACTCTGACTTTTCCTCTCGAAAACCGCATGGTGAATCCTGATTTGGCGGGTGGCGCACTTCTTGATTTGGGTATCTATGCTATCACATGGGTTTTCCAAATTCTGTACCACTGTCAATCCTGTCCCTCTATCGAGCGCGAAGTACCCTCTGTTCTTGCCGCTGTGCAGAAATACGAGAAGACGGGTGTGGATGAACAGACCAGTATCATTTTACAGTTTCCCAAGAATAAAAGTGTGGGGATCGCAACGACGGGGATGAGAGTGGCGACGCAACCAGATGCGCATGGGGAGGCGAGTAGAGATGAAGCTCCGACGATTAGAATCCAAGGCACCAAGGGAGAAATCCAAGTTTTTGGTCCTGCGTATAGACCGTTGAAATACAAGGTTTTGAAGATTGCGAACGAGGCGGGAGACCTCAAGACGGTGGAATGTGAGATTCCGCAGGATCCGGAGAGGGGCAATTGGGGACATGGGATGGCGTGGGAGGCGGATGAGGTGGGTAGGTGTTTGAGGGACGGGAAGAAGGAGAGTGAGGGGTTGGATTGGAGGGAGAGTGAAGCGATCATGCGGGTTATGGATGAGGTGCGAAGACAGGGAGACTTGAAGTATAGTGAGGAGATTGAGTCGGATGTTTTCCATGAAAAAAGTGCTTTGAATGGGAAAGCTTGATTTAGAAATATCTGCGATCGTATCGTTGAATTTGAAAACCCGTCTCAAACAATTTATTCAATTTCATGATATAGCCTAAAGTGTGTACTTCCATTGCTCTAGCTAGAAATAATGCTACCACCCTACGAAAATAATACTATACCATAGGTAGTCTTACAATGCGATATCCTGTATACTTGGAATATCAGAATATCTCTCCACCTCTACCACTTGAACGAGGGGGTTTCCGCCATCTGCCGCCCGGAATCACAATTCGATCGCCCAACTTTACCTGGAGAATGGGATCTTTGTATGAAAAGAAAGGATGCTGTAATTTATATAGTGTGTTTTATTATGTATATTGTAGACTATGTTCTAGAATATAGAGAGGAAAAATAATAGAGATGATTGTAGTTTAAAATGGAATCTGAATCGCAGATGGAGTGGAAGTGAAAGCGAGGGTAGGTAATTATAAGGAACGAATAAATAGATATAGAGAAGATATGTAAGGGATAGAAAGACAGATGTATACGTAGATATATATAATAACCTCATAAAAAGTAAAGGAAAAGTAACACCCTATCGCAAATACACTCTAGGAAACCTCTTCACGCAACCCCGAACATCATCTATCAACCCAAATCTCTCCGCCATTCCCGCCACCCCATCCATCAAAACAATTGCACAAAAGAAGAAAACCGGGTGTGTATCAGGCAGATTTCGCAGTTCGGCCGGGCTACACGATTCTCTCCCGATCAGCATTAGCTGCTCGACGATCGCGGTAGCAAAGTCTTGATCAAGTAAGATCCAGTACAGAATTTCTTCCATGGTAGGAACCGTGCTGCGTGATAGAAAATGCGGCCACGCTTTGTTCCCTGGAGATCTAGCGGCAGTGTGGCAAATCTCTTGCCAGAGGAAAAGGTCGAGGTATAATCTCAATTGCGAGATTCGAAAGTGTACTTTGAATGATGGAGAGTTCTTGTAGATAGAATGACGCTTGCGACGCCGTTTCATCAATGTTTTAGGGATGGAAGAAACGATTATGTTTCCATGTGTATTAGCTAGCAGATTGATCTTGGTGAGAGATTCTCGCTCTCGCTCTCGCGCTTGACTGGGGAATCTTTCGAGGGAATCAGCAATGTTGGTTTGATCAAGTGCGGAATCGGGAGAAGATTGGCGTTTATACATGGCCAGTCGTACCGATTCATGGAGATTCCCAAATGTGAAAGACGCGAAAACTGCAGTGGAAAGAACGTCAGGGCTGTACTCGAACTGTGGAAGTTTATGGTGATTATTAAGCTCGAGTAGTGAAGCGAATGCATGTGTCAAGAGGGGGTTATCCAAAATGCGTTGTTCAAGTTTGATCGTTTTTCCGAGACCGGCAGTTGGTGCCATTATGTGATGGGTTTTGTCAATTTCTTCTAATTGCACGGGCTCATTATTAGGACCTAAGCCATCAATGGCAAACGCTTGCCGAATTCCGGTCACATCGACCCAAACATAAACTCCCCTCTTGGGAACGATAGCTTGGGAATCAAAGGTGTTTTCATCTTGTTTTGCAGTATTGGCAACCTGGTCAACACCGTCAGGAACTGCGGATGAAGATGCTGGAGAGGATGGCTCGCGGATGAAATATCGATTCGTCTCTTCCAGAATCCAAATTTTATCCTCGGTGATGAGACCAGCTTTTGAAACCCACTTCTTTCTCTCTATCTTGCTGAAATAATCATCGTCTTTGGACAGTTCCGAGGTGAATGGGTAAGATACGTTTGAGCACAACTTTAAACAAAGAAAGCCTCGGTTCTCCAAACTCGACGCAGCTGTTTTCAAGAACAAACACTGCTCCAAAGATGTTGCAATTCTTACTAACACTGTTCCCACTGGAATATCGAGATTGTGGGTCTTCAACGCCCCAAAGCCATTAAGGTCAATGTTTCCTCCTTTTTTCCGTTCATTCTGGAGTAAGTATCTCAGCAGATGCTCAAATGACACTGAAACTTCTGGTAACGGTAGTATAGAAGATATCTGGAACGTCTTAGTGACCCGGCCTACCAGGCATCTTTGAAAATATGGCTCCTGTCTACCTCGTTCACCACATTCAAAATTAATCCAAGATGCATCCCCAATATCTCCCAAATCTTTCCACCTAAGCCGAGCTCGTAGACTTGGGCAACCCTCCTCGCATTTGAGCTCATAAATTGGAAGTTCAAGCTCGACAACTCCATTGATGAATCGACTTCGAATAACCGTATCATCAACTAAGCCCACTGTTTTCAGTTGTCGCTTCAATCTCAGCTTGACAAAAAATGCAATGATAAAGTTGTAAAGTATAGGTGAAATGCCGAGAACAGCAAGCGGAATTCCAATGTAGGTGATAATAGCAGCGGGTGATGCCATCTCGCGCTTTCATCTCAAAATGATGATTGCTGAAACAAGACAGAAGTTGAAGGCCAGAAGTGGAGAAAAGCCACCAGCCAGAGTCACACTTTTTCATGCTACACAACATTTACAGGCGGCTGAGATTGGTCTTTGCAAATGTCGCATTGCCGTTGCTTACTTACGTAGTATCCTGCCTGGCCTTTTATTCAAGTGATCTGAAGAGAATCAATGTATAATAATCGGCTCTTCTAAGCGGCCAACTTGGTCCCTATTTGGGGAAAACAGTTGTGTTCCCATGAGAATTTGTATCCGGGTAATCCTTCGGGATTTGAATTAATATAAGATAAGATTGTATAATAGAATAATCACCATCTTATTGAACCGACCTAGGTAATTATTTGATAAGGTTCTTTTTGTGATGATTAGAATGGTCAATGGAGAATGCTGGTCACTTTTCTCACTTTGATAGGAAGTCTGCTGACATCAAATGGGGCAGCCTTGAGTGAATCTCACCATCTTACCCATCTTGGCAGAAACCGGGCGGGCGCGGTCACAATCCGCAAGGACGGGCGTACTATATAACCGTCAATACAAACGAGAACAACTTGGGGCAGTTGGTAGAGTGGTTAAGGAGTGCAATTCGACTTCTTCCCTCTGAAGCCCGTCCTGAGCCGTGGCACTCGAAGATAATACCCCTCGGTATGCTGCCACAATGTGAGGCATGCATGTGTGAATGTAGCCAAAAATAAGGCAATAAAAACAAAATAATAGATAGCTTAGAATTAGATGATTGGTGGATGGTTGACGGGGGAGTTGGAAGGTGATGGATGGATAGGTGGTGGATGTATCCAAAAACAGAATAAAAAAGAAGTAAGAACACAATCTCAAGGTCTCAATTCAATGCCTGCCTTGAAATGTTCAGGCCTTCTAACATACTTATTTTTTCTTTGCATTGTCGTCGGTGAGGTTAGAAGTGGGTAACGTCAAAAAACAGGCAAGTATAGCGAATGATGACGTCGCGAAACACGATCGTTTTCTCAAACACTTACGCCTGTATTTTTGTTGATATATTTCTTGAGGGTTTGAAGTTTGAGGTCTCTTCCGTTTTCGAACTCTGGCTAGTATGGCGGGTTTGGTAGGGTTTGATCTGGGTGACTATCGAGATATTTTCGAATGTTTTGACGATCGGAAGCGAATGCGCGACGACGACCCATCCCACTCCATCTTTATCCATCATGCAAGAGTATTCTTCCGATAAATCTACTCGGGAGTCATGGCAGTGTTAGGAAAGCGCGCTTTCGAAACAATCCCGATTGATATCGACATACCGACATTTGATGTTTCTTGGAGTCTCATGCTATGTGTACCTCTCACTAGGAACATTAACCTTATGCGAATGAGGCATTATCGGAAAAGATCTGAGCAGCGATATGCGAATCAAAAATAGACAGAAACGTGTACGTGTAGCTAGTTATTGACAGCAAGACAACCTCACTACTGGAACAATCTCGAAACTTCAAGATATGGCAAGATGTCTGCAACACGTGACCTCGCTCCCCTCGATTCGCGGAGATAGAGTTTGCGCTAGCCCAGACCGACTTTTATTGAAAGGCTCGTGCCGCTGCAATGCGGCACGTAATGTGTCAATCAAGACCAGAACGCCGAGCTCTGTAAGGTTTGGGAGGCGACGAGCGAAAATTTGGACAAGGAATTGGAGAAACGTAAGTGAGAAAAAAGCCAAAACACCAAGCCTGTTGGCAACGACGAGGCTGAAAACAAATTCAAGTAGACCAAGTAAGCCAAGCCATGAGCTTTGATTTACCAAGTCTTCACCAAGCTTTCATGTGATTTGATAGCCGACAAGAGCTGAGAAAGAGGTGTTCTTCCGAGGAAGCCGAATAAGAGAGAAAGAGAGATCTGGATGAGGCGAGAACTGATGTGCCATAAGTACTACTTGAGGTTATTTTTTTTTTGAAGTGTGACTGACTGACGTACGATTAGACGGCGAAGAGGGGGCTGAGCGAAATTCAGATAAAAAAAAGGTTTGTAGGACACGGCTGTGTTCTAGAATTGGGCCCTGAGGGGAGAAAGGAAGAAGAACTATTGATAGTTAATGATTTTCCCAAGACCTCCAAGACAAAGGAGAGAGTGGCAATTAGCGACATCATTGGATACAGCAATTAAACGACACGACTTAAATTTCTTGAGAAGCTTGGCTTTAGCTGGGCTTTTCTTGAATAATGATTGAGAAAGAAATGATTAATGTTTGTCATTATTCAATTAATGCATAATGTTTTGTGTTTGGAGTGAAAATACGAATGTATAAAAAGGAGAATATGAGTTTCATCGTAACAACCGACCCTAGTCGATTATGATTGAAAGGAAAGGAAAGAAAGCAGGCTGTATGGAGAATGGAGTATGGCTATGTCTATGATGATGTGATAATGTGATGATGATTATTTCTAAAGAGGAAGGAAGGTATCTACCTATCTAGGGAGTCCCTAGTACCTACTGAGAAGTACTCTCACACATACAGAGTAGACGGAATTTGACAGATACCGTAGCGAGCGTAGATGGACAGTCCACCATTAACATCAATAACAATACGAGATACGACATCAAAGAAAAGATTATGTGATGAGGATGGATTGAGGCTGCGGGGGGCGCGGAAGAATGATTTGTGTTTGTGTTTGTATTTGTGTTAATTATTATTATTTTTTTCTTTGTGCGACCGCCCACATCTACAGCCACATCCACAATCTCTCCAGATTCTTTGAAATCTTGATGAACCTTGATGTGAATGGCTACTGCGCAGAAAGGTAATCGCACCGGCAGTCTTCATCCGTGGCAATTGTCAAGACGATTCCCATTATCATTGGTAGTTGTAAGATGTTGTCATGTACCGTAGCATGCATCGTGGTGGGCTGGGCTGTACTGTACCGTAATCATCAAGCAGACCCTTTGGAATCATCAAGAACTACCTACCTACTACGTACCTAGGTATCTATTTGAGTTCGTTAGTATTTAGTATTTAGTCTTCTATCCACGCTTCTTCTCCGCATTCTTGACGTTTTCCGTGTTCCGCTTTCCGTTTTCCGTTTTCCTTATATGGCCTCAAACCTTACCTACGTACTTGACATTTCTTGCTACTGTTATCGCACAGCACAAAGTATAATTTATCGTTATCCCCCACATCATCATACTTTTTCTTCCCTCTTTCCTCCTTATCTCCCACTCTTCCCTCAATCCCGTCACCAAAGGGTTTGTGACAAAGGAACAGAATCATCCTTCCACATCACACTTCGTACATCAATCAAAGCCGCAGAGTGATCGATGATCGTTCCAAAAACATCCGAACTACATACCTCCCTCCTACCTAGTACATCCTACAGTTTCAACGCACGGAGATCCATTCTGCCGACATCCAATCCACGCTAATCCAATTTGAGTTTGACTATCTCCCTCTCCAAAACAGCTCCAAGCCAAGAAGAGAGTTTCACTTCATCTTTTGTAGTAGTGGGAATGCACCCTCGATAAAACTACAAAGTATTTGCTCCTCTTAAATTAATGGATATGTGATATTCGATTGAGAGATTGCTATTTGTTTACGACTTTCCGTGGATTTTTCTCTTGTTCTCTATTCACTCTTCCCTTCCTCAACTGCATCATCTCAATCATGCTTCTACCGGATAAGGGAGGGAATATGGCGAAATGCCTTTCGATCCTCCTGCTCTTCGTCGGGTTGGTTGCTGGTCAAACTTCCACGGCTTCCTTCTCGCCCTCGAATCATACTTTGCCATCTAACATGACGAACCCGGATTTTGAATTGTCTTTGACGTCTGGGAATAGCGATCTCTTGATCAGGAATATGTACAACATTGCCCCGCTCACTGCTGAGGCGGGAATAGGACAAACTGAGACTGCTGTAAATGTAAGAAATGTGTTCCAACTTACATTGTATATGTATAACATGAGGCAGACTACTAATATTGTATCGTATAGCAAATTAACATCAACGGATCTATTGTCCCCAGAGATGCGTCAAATGCGAGTAATCTATCCATCACCGATATAGCATATATGAATTGTGATCCAAACGAAAGCTCCAACATTGATTCAACACAAGCTATTATCATGGCAGGAAATGCGCGGCCAAAGGCCATATTATTGTATAGCTTATACTCCCAGGAGTGCAGCATTACCGGCGATTCTGCTTATAAAACAATTTATACAATGGTGTCTGCCTCCGATTCAATGGCTTTATTTGTTACTTTGAACAATTATTCCAACGGCTCATTGGTCGCAAGATTCGTACCCAACCAAAGCTCGTCAGATATAGGTTCGGCATCGCAAACTAGTAACAACGGAGGACCGCCACCAACTACAGCTGTTGCCATGAGCATTCTATACAGTATCACTGGAATTATCACTTTGCTATTCTTGATAATTATAGCCACGGGAGCCATTCGCGCTCACAGGCATCCGGAAAGATATGGGCCACGGAACGCTCCAGGAAGACCAAGGCAAAGTCGAGCAAAGGGTCTTGCGCGAGCTATGTTGGAAACTCTACCCATCGTGAAATTCGGGGATCCAGAACCAGGGAAACCAGGGAGTACTGATATTGAATTGGAGAATGGCAGTGTTCATCATGTTCCTGTTACTTCTACAACAGATGCCACGACCAGCGACACATCAAAATTTCCGGTTACCGCGGCAGCAACTTCCGAGAAGGGTTTGGGTGCACATCCTGAGTCAGGGGATAACGAAGCATCGGCGGCCACGAAGGAGAACGAGCTTTTACAATGTTCGATTTGTACAGAAGATTTCGCTACCGGTGAAGACGTTCGAGTGCTTCCATGTCATCACAAATATCATCCTGCTTGCATAGACCCTTGGCTATTGAATGTCTCAGGAACTTGTCCATTATGGTAGGCTCGTTTATTTTATAATGTATAAACATGTACTAACTTTCACAGTCGCCATGACCTCCGACCTACAGCAACTCATGCCCAATCTGCAGATGATGAACTTCCCCCTCCACTTGATGCGGGTGAAGGAGAAGCAGCTAGTCAACACACAGCTGGTACTTCTGAAAACGGAGAGACCAGCTCTCGTAGTCGCGTTTCTCGTCTTATGCATCTTCGCAATGCTCCCCCCGAGGAGAGTATTGCTACCCTTCGCGAATTTGCACGTGAGCAATCCCAACAAGAAGTGGCTGCACCAAATGAGGACGGAGTCGAAGAACAAGGCAGAAGAGCTAGCCTTGCAGGTCGACTCCGAACCACTCTCCGAATAAGAACACGAGCACAAGCACCCACTGTGCCCGAAACGACAGCAACAACATGATATGATCACTAACTCATAGTATTTTTAACGATTCGCATAACGACCTTTTATATTTATATTTTATGACTTTAAATAGTGGCTCTCCAAATCCGACGTTTTACTACAGTATTGTGAAAGCAGAGTACATCATATTGAAACTGATTAGCGTGGACGGATGAGAATGATGGATGAAATGGTACGAACAATTGGAAAGGATGGATCTGAATAGATGGAGTTTGGCGTCAATTATTTACCCTTGATTTTCACAAGTACAATCGAGCATGGATTGGGTCTGGTCTAGTTTGGGCGGTGTTTTATCAAGCACCCAGGATTTCGGATGGTTGGAGGATATGGAGCGGCGCAGTGGGTGGTAAAATTAGGAGTCGCGGAAGCTAAGGGAGATTTTTGTCAGCGACTGCAATATTTTATTATTGTAATATATCTTGTAGGACCTGATTTCTACGCGAGATGGGCTCGATAAATATCATACTATGCCTGTCATAGCCGATTATCCCGTGTGACGCTAATACTTGACCCATCATATAAACAAGCGCTGGAGTGCATGAAATATGGGTAGTAAACTCCCCCTCTGTAGATGGTAGGTTGGAAATCCTCCTAAAACCCGCGGCCTTTCCTATGAATGCAGTACAATGTTGTACACGTGAATCCACATCTTATTCTCATTCCCACAACTATCTTCATACTCCTTTTTTCCATCCGTTTCACACCCTCCATTCCAGACACTTGCACACTCCCAATGTTCCCCCCCAAAGAACTCCATTGCTTGCTTGCTTGCCAATCTTCGATATCCCCCCCCCCTGCCCTCTCGTTCCTCTCCTCCGCATCTCCCATCCCCCACGCAATCAACCCCATGCAAAAAACTCAAAAGTAAAAAGACAAAATCAACTACTCCTCCTTCCCCCCCAAATCGAATCAATCCAAATCAAATCAAATCAACCCCTTCCGAGCCAATTCCACCTTCCTCGCTGCCTCACCAGCCTTAAATCCTCCTTTCGATATGCAAATTGCGTTTCCGTCTGCGAGCTCGAATTTCTCCTCGTAGGTTGGGTGCGCGCAGGGACAGTGGTGTGGGAAGGCGACGCAGGAGAGGGTGCCGGGGCAGAGGTAGGATGTACAGTGGGCTAGGGGAGGGGGGCGTTAGTTTAGGGAATGGAGAGATGGGAGTTGAGAGGGAGGAGGGGAAATGGGGAGATATATGGGAGAACATTATTACCTCGATCATAATTATCCTGATACCATTGCGAATCACTGGGCACATCTTGTGGTTGACGTTGCTGCTGCTGTTGTTGACCGTTGAACATTTGCTCGAAGAATTGAAATTGTGCTGATACGCCGATTATTAGGAATAGGAATGAGAAGAGAGAAAATAGTGGTTTGGCCATTTTTGCTTGTGGTGGAATGGATCTGGATATGGGAGTGTGATGTTTGAAGGGGAATGTGGAAATCTAGTGATGGGTGATGGGTGTGGTAGTGATAGATAGCAGATAGTGATAGCTTGATATTGACAGGTGGTAGAAATGTTTACGGGGGACTATAAGATGGCGAAATGACAAAATTGGGGGTTTGGTGGAGGATTTAAATAATTTTGGAATTTTAACGGAATGAATTACATGAGATGAGAGTTTTCAATTTTCTACTCTACTTGCATTAAATAATTATCTCGAGATTCTTCACAAAACACACCAACTCTCCCTCCCCAATCCCCCAATCCCACCACCGCGCCCCCCACACATCTCGGTCCCCGTAAAAAAGCATCACCAAACATCAAAAATATCCGCACTCCTCACCTCCCAACCCACACATCCCAAGATGTTGCTTCAACGCCTACAGCCTCCATTGCGAGGCGCTATAACGTCCTTCTCGCGGACCACGTCGGCATCGGCTGCGGAAACGCATCTTTGCGAAGCGCTCACGCATCTCTCGTTCAAGAAATCTTCTTCTCCACTTGCCCCTCTCATTGGCGTTCGTCATGCTTCGCACGCGGCACAAGGAGCTGTCAATAAAGCGAAAGATGGACCGGGGAAGAGATTGGGTGCGAAGAAATCCGGTGGTATGTATTTCCCCTCATGCCATGTCCAATCCCATCCTCCCACTCCGTCCTAACATACCTCAGAACAATACGTAATCCCCGGCAACATCATATTCCGCCAACGCGGCACCCACTGGTTCCCCGGCGACAACTGCGCTATGGGTCGCGATCATACCATCTATGCCACCCAGCCCGGCTATGTGAAATACTATAAAGATCCCGAGCGCCATCCCAAACGCCAATACATCGGTGTGGTATTCAAGCGCGAGCAGGTTCTCCCCTTACCGCGGAATACCATCCGCAGACGCAGATTAGGGATGGAGATTGCGAAGATTGAGGAGCCGGAGGTGGAGGTGGAGCAGCCGGTGGCGGTGGAGGTTAGTGTGGAGGGGGCAGAGCAGCAGGGGAAGAAGAAGAAGAAGGAGAGGAAGGGAGAGGAAGGCAGAAATCTCCAGTTGCGACCGGGATATATGTATCGCGAGGCGAATTGGGAGATTGGAAGAGCGGCGGAGAGAGCAAAGGTTAAGGTGAGGTTGTATAAACCGGGAGATCGATGGACGGCGTGGAGGAAGGCAAATGCGAGGAAGGCGAAGAATGCGGAGAAGAGGGGCTTGTCGAGTAGGAAGAAGAAATAGATGAGAGATGAGAATGAAAATTGAGAGGTGGAGGAATGGGAAAGAAGGCGTGTATGATTATCGATTCATCTGGTCTTGGTATGGGAACTTGAATGAAAGGGCCTGAATCAGGGCGGCCCCAGTTGCAATATTGAGGAAATCCAGAAGAAATGGATGTGTAACTAGGTTGATATCCTAACATAGAATTTTACCGCAAATCGGCTTGTGGTAGTGAACAAGATCAATGAGCTCAATGGTACAAATACTTCGTACAAGACGTTCTATTTGCCTTTGACGTTTCTACAATCTCTGAGTAGAGCCTTCACGTTAAACATCCAGCAGTCAACTGGGGAACCTGGCGTTCACGTGAATTTCAGTGCTAGTAAGAAATATGCATAGAACTTTGGAAAGGCGTTCCATATACTCACAATAGCCACTCACACACTTCAATATATGATATATTTTTAAAATTTAGAACGCATGCACTACTAGAACTACAAGCACCTGTGATTCAAGATGCATAAACATATTTGGCGACGACTAATCCCCCAAATTACTTCTACATGCTCCCAATGTGCAAAAACGCCTCTTGAAATGCGATTCTTTTATACAATAATTCCGACCGAGCAACCCGACCTACCGACCTACCGACCATCCGACCATTCCATCCAGCCTAAGCCTACCATTTATTACCGCCGAAAATCCAACCCAAATTATTCGTTATAAAAAATTCGTCCATTACAACCGCAAGGCGCCATAAAATGCATACATTTCGTCTCATGTCGATTCCCGTTTTTCGTCCTTCCCAATCTTTTAATTGATCGTCGCTTTCGTTTCATCTCGAAATTGAGAGTATATAGGTAGTATTAGACGCAAGTCCATTCAGCAAAAACGCACCATCTAGCACTTCGATCGGCTAAAACTAGTCCTCTCCATACACCCCTTTCCCCACATTTAATTATCGTCTCCCAAGTTCCCCCATCTCCGCCCTCTAAATTGACACCCCCATTTCTCTCTTCCTTTCGCATTAATCTCAAGATCTTTCCACCTGGTGCTTGAATTGCCAGTTTGGCTGGCTTTTTACCGGTTCCTGAACCAGAAGCCGAGGAACTTGTTATAGACATGGCCGAGTTTGGTCGTATAAATGGAATAGGCGAGGTTCTCCCAGGATCCGGAGATCCCGTGGATAGCGAGGAAGGATGCTGACGCACAGCGAATACGAAGGTATTATTGATGGCTAACCGCTGGCATTGTGGCTGGGCGACATAAAGGTCATGGCGTTGCGCATGAGGTGTTGGATGTCGGATCAGAAACTCGTATGGAGGATTGTCACCAGAGTGAATAATAGGCAATGCGACCGCTAGCGGATGTGGGATATCCTTGATACTATGCATGAGACCACGTTTCCCAGCATAAATTTTAAGAATACCTGACCCTTCATCACCAGGCAGTAGGCCCTTGATCGTATATCTCTTTTGACTGCCTACCCATTCGGCTTGTGCCAAAGCAGGCTTCGTAATAATCTCACCAGTCTCGAATAGATCACCATCAGCATCCCGCTCAAAGGCACGTGCTTCAACCTCCGCCACACACTCAACATCAGGCGGTACAGAAATTTTGATGTGAACAAGCTCTAGATCCTCAATACGTATGAGACTTGTATCATAATCCACCATTTCCATCTCATTAGTGAAAAATGCGGGGCAAGCACATGGTAGAGCTAGCAGAATTTCATGTGCCATGGGAGGACAGAGATGTTGGTCAACATGCTGCTCAGGTATGTGAGTCCAGCAGATTTCGATTGGCCGAGTCAGAAACCACCAGGGTTCTGCATATTGGCTACTGGCACTGGTATATTGGCTTCGTCGAGGATGAGAAGGACTTGCTAAAGAGCAATCCATTATTCGCCATTCTCCATCAATTACGACTGCGTTCCAGAAATGATTAGGTCGAGGCATTGGGCCCATATCTGGTACTTCACCAGGCGATTTGAGATATCCTCTGATAACCTCTGCATGTATCCCAATAGCTTTACACATATCCATAACTAGAAATGCGACTTCTTCCGAAGAACCATGTTTGGTCTGAATCACCCTTCTTGAATCAGCAGTATCGTTATCGAAGCCCTCTTCCCATGTGATCTTTTCGCTAACCCATGTGAATATTGCTCGTAAGCGCTGGATATCGCTTCTATATGGCCGACACACATAGCCTGTGGCTAGGCTCATAGGGTTAGACATGGGCGGAAGACTATTGATAAACCGTGTGTTCTTGTCAACCAGGCTGAGGTTTACTGCTTGAAAATTGGTTGGCTCAACAACTGGTTTACCATTAACTCCTTCGTCACCATCGCACCCCTCGAGAAGCTCTTCCACAGGACTTATGGCGGGATAGTCCATCATCTGGCATCTCTCCTTTCTTTCAACTCGCTCAATCTTACTCAAAGAATTCGATCTGTTGATGTCTCGTCGCACCTGAACCCAATCGACTCCCACGGTACTACCTCCAGGTCCAACTTCATTAGAGGTATTAGAGTTCGGTGTGTTCCCAAACCCACCACCTCCCATTGACGTAGTTCCCGCTGGAAATGAACTATGTGCCTGAACGCGCGGCCTAGAAGATTCACCAACAGCGATACTGCTCCTAGCGCTCGCAGCACCTGTTTTAGCGGACTCGACCATTCTTTTGAAGAACCCGCTTTTCTTGGATTTGGGTGTCATGAGACCACCAAGAGCAGCATTGCCATCTGCTGCAGAACCTGGCCAGCCAGTTGGTGACTGCATACGAGAAGGATCCGAAGCATGACTACTGTGATATGAAATGCCGGTCATTGGCGTC